CCAATGTAACTACTACCACAGAGGCAACTTAGTTTGTAGACGCCAGGGTACTGTATGTACTGTATGTCCCTTCTACGTGACTTTACCGAAAGAACCAAGAATAGTAACTAATTGCCACGTTTGTTTACATCACATACCTTACTAATTCACTGTGGCCGGTGGTGGCGGGTTTAACGACACATTTATATTTACACGATCTAACAAAAAACACGCTGCAATTAAAAACACACACACGTATATATGTAAAGGATGTGTATGGACTTAATACATTTGTAGGGACTTCATACGTTGTGACGTCATCCACTCCAGTTCACTTTGCAGGTGTGTGTTCAAAATTATTATTTTCTGTGGACATTTTTTTTTACATTGACCATGCAATCCCTCACAAATTCACGTTAAAAGAAATCCACACAAAAAGGTACATGGCCAAAACTACCGGCAGCAGTTGCCAATGAATAAATGCATAAATACATACAGTATGAATAAAGGGACATACAGATGCATATGTGCACATTTTTCACGTTGCAAACCAAACCCCGCTACCTCCGATTCGCACGGTTGGCTACGTTCGGTGCGAAAGAAATTCAACATATAGGTGTTGAATCCAACAATATCTTGTGGACTTATGAGAAATAGCTGAGCAAGATGAAGGTTGATTTTTGTATTTTGTCAATTCATATATATTCTCTCATTTCTTTGGGTCTTTCGGTAAAGTCACATAGATGGGTTCAAATAAAAGAACAAAAAACTACGACGTTTCGATCGCAACACAAGCGGTCGTCATCAGGAAAAGGCTGGAGAACAGAGCGCATGCAATATCTGGAACTGTTTAATGCTATTTGAGACCATTCTTAGGTCCTGTAAAGTCACAATTAAAGTTGCCACTTCGGAGGTACAAAAAAAACCCTAAACATAAAACGCGAAGAAGAATATCTCACAATGCCATAAGAGGGAACTAGTACATGAAAATGAGTTATCTTTTGTGGTGCATTATTAAACAGTCTGACAAAAAGCCAGGACTCTAAATGTCCTGGGTAGACTTACAAATTGGCCATGACAGCCACCTCAAAAAAACAACCACCCTGGGAAAACCAAGACGGGAGGCAGCCGTAGTCACGATGATGATGATAAGCCAAGTGCTGGAGTCTATACTCTTTGGTTCTATTCGGTAAAGTCACGTAGGTAAAATAAATAAATAATAAAAATAAAACAACAAAAATCACGACATTTCAGCCACAACACAAGCGGCCTTCATCAGGTGAAGGGACCAGACTGTCTCGAGGACAGCGCTGGAGTGAAACACAGCCAAGCTCAGACCGCGACCTTTAAGCTGTGTGAGAGTAATTAAGGTGCCTTGACAAAGGAATTAGCATAAAAAATTCAAATTAAGTAACCATTGGAAAGATGTTCTAAATCTAACCAAACATTAAACTAATTTTCAATGGTACAGTATATTTTTCAAGTAGTGGTACCCCAAACTTTCGCAGCTTCTTAAATTCCCTTTTCACACCACCAGCATGTGGACTCTTCCTTGCCCCCTCGCCAGCCTGCACATGTTCACCCCCTCCCCACCTTCATCATGCTAAGTCCGCCTATTAAATGCAAATTTTTATGCTAATTCCTTTGTCAAGGCACCTTAATTTCTCTCACACAGCTTAAAGGTCGCGGTCTGAGCTTGGCTGTGTTCACTCCAGCGCTGTCCTCGAGACAGTCTGGTCCCTTCACCTGATGAAGGCTGCTTGTGTTGTGGCCGAAACGTCGTGATTTTTGTTGTTTTATTTTTTATTTTTTACCTACGTGACTTTACCGAATAGAACCAAAGAGTATGGATCCTTGCAGTCACGAAAGCTTCAAATGCTGGAGTCTAACTTGCGTCTTCGGCCTTCGGGTGCTCACCATTGTCTCGCGCTCTTACACGCAACTAGCGCACGTCACACGCCCTTCAAACGCCGTAAAACTTCCAAACTATTTACAACATATTAAAGCCGCAATAACTTGTTGCACCCATAGAGTCTATGAATTGTATGGCATGCCAAGGGGTTGCACTGGTGGATGATCGCCTCGCTCCGATTCATTGCATCCCTTGAGACCGTCCTAATTTAGAGCGACGGTGTTGAGCGCCCCCTTTTAAATGTTCATGATCAGTGAAAGTTGCATATTTCACGTGCTGGTCACCTTTATTTGAAAACTATAAATGCATCCTTAGTGTATAAATTATTCCAATTAATGCAGGAATGCACCATGTGTTGTACGTGTAAAGTTATGGGGCAAATGTTCATTTGAAATGAATGCATGCCCCCCCCCCCCACCTCCACGGAGATGGTCAGTGGTTTGCCTCAAGGCGCCAAACGGTTGTTACTGATTTATTCATGACAATATATACCATGGAGATGTTTTATTATCGTGATGCTTGTTTTGCCGAGCAAACCCTCGCTGAGTCTCGGGACTCTTTATGCGAGGGACGATGTTCCTCAATGAGTTATTGAGTAATTTGCAGCGCAATATTTTGGCATTGGGAATCTTTGGCCCAACACCAGTTACGCGAAAGCCTACGTGTTAAACTGAACCAGTTACATTGTTTGTTTCCGTCAGCTTGATGGGACGTAACTACACATTGTCGTTGCCGCTGTTTGCCCGGCTATGACCGCACTGCCTCACGCGATTTGAATTGGAACGTTTTTGTCTGCAAACGTCAGAATTTCTCCTCGGACGCACTCGTGTGCACACACAGGTACTAACCCGGGGCAATACATATTTAACTTGCGTATAAAGTATTTTTTTTATTTTTAAAGATCCAAATATTATAAATCATAGGCAACAGACTTATTATACCTTCCGGAATATAGTCATTGCAATTATTTATATGAATTAAAAAACGCATCAAATGAATGTGTTTGCATTTTTATTATGTATGACAACTTCAATTGTGCTGTTTGTTACTGGGCATTTGGCATTTGTTTGGCCTTTGGGCCCGTGCTGATCAACTGCGATATGAACTTTTAAAAGTTATGATCGCCATCATCTCCTCATCGCATGATTCTACCAATCAACGCAAAACATGTTTTTTCCAAACAAAGCGTTATTTTTGTATGTTAGCAGCAACATTTGAAGGAATGCATGCATGTGTTTAAAACCGGGTGTGTTTTATACGTTACAAAACAGCACACCGTATCCGGAACCTCAAAAAAGTGAACGCAGTACGTGCAATGTCAAGGATGTTGGAAATTAAATTAGAAGAGACCAAGTAAGCAGCATACATTTATCATTTAAATCCTACCTACTGCACTATCTAACCCAGTGGAACTATGCGTTGCTACACTGGAGTTCTAACAGTCCATTTCCATGAGTGAAACCGACACAGCATAACTTATTATTTCTTGATGTGTGCTGCGGTGACCAGTAGCCACAGACACATCAAGCAGTCTGTGAAGTATCCATTGCAACGAAGCAGAAATTTGCGCGTTCAGGACGCCAGCATACCAACATCATACATCACTTTAACACGGAGCGGGCTTTCGCGACCAATATTATATCATAATAAAGGTTTATGGGTTAGATCGCGAAATTATAAATGTGTCGTAACCCTCCACCACCCGACAAAGACAATTAGTAAGGGGTTTGCCACGTAAACAAAACGCGCCAATTAGTTACTACTTCAGCCCACCGGTGTGTTGGAGAGCAAATCCACAACATTTACAATCTGAGTAGTACGACGTTTCGCTGGTAATTACATCCAGCGTCATCGGGCGATTTGTCAGAATAGTGAAGCAACCCACCTGTTTCCGATCTTAATTAGAGCAAGAACACCAAATATTTAAAACTCTCAAACACAACTGTCGCCATTTGCAGAACATGCTTGCCAACAAGGACACTCAATTGATTTTGATAACGTTGAAGTGTTGTGTAAAACGAATTATTACTGGCCAAGACTAACTCGAGAATCCATTGAAATTGAGAGAACTACGCACTCTGACAGCTGCAGGCTTAGTGCGGCCTGGAAGCGTATTATTAAGTAATACATCTTACAATTCCTTAGAGAGGAAACGCATACTAATTAAATGATTACTAATCTATTATATAATTACAATACTCCCCCCCCCCAACACCTCCTCCGGCTCTGATCTCTGCACCTGATGAGTTCAGTGATGACGTCGCCCTGCTGCTAGATTTAAGACCGGAATCAGGTGGATTGCTTCACGATTCTGGCAAATCTCCCGATGACGCTGGATGTAATTACCGGCGAAACGTCGTACTACTCAGATTGTAAATGTTGTGGATTTACTCTCCAACACACCCGGTGGGCTGAAGTAGCAACAAAGTTGCGTTTTGTTTACGTGACAAATCCCTTACTGATTGGCCGTGTCGGGTGGTGGAGGGTTTCGACACATTTATACTTACGCGATCTAACCCAAAAACCTTTTTTTTATTAATCAAACATCACTGCCATATTACAGTGTGCCTTGTATTCGGCTGTGACGTACTGTGCCGCTAATGGCAAGTCCAACAACACTCCGGTTTATGTCGGGGGTGCGTTCCCGAAAGGCTTTTGAAGAATGCGTTGGGTTGTTTTTTGTCGTTGTTACTTTCCTTAAGCGACGATGACGGTTCTTATTATTCTTTGTCCTCTGATCCGAATCAACTTCAACATGTATGTATATACACATGCATTTTTGTTCAACTTCTTTCGCGCTGTGCGTAGCCAAGCGTGCACATCGGATGGCAGGAGCTTAAGCAAGCTCGAGCCTGGTTAGTGGATGAATGGGGTGACCGCCAACTTTCCCAGATGTCACAGACACTGGAGTATTTTCCAGATTCCTTCAATATGGCAAGTGCTCATTAACGTTATATCCCAATGCCGAACCAGGAGACGCAGTGAGGCATTCCGGGATAAATAATTGGAAGTATTGTCAATCTTTAGCTGTCTCGTCTTAGTGTCAAGTCTATGCAAGTAGAGTTGCGGGTTTTTTTTGTATGACCTGAAGACACAGAACACAACTGTCTATAAAACAAGAAGCATTTATTTTTTTCTGCTATATTATGTACACAGAATAAAGGAGTAATACGCTCTATTTATATTTACAAATGAGGTCGTGAAGATCTGTATTACAAAAAGTATACATCGATATCAGTTTAAACGACTAACTTGCATCATTTAGTCCTAATGATGCACAACACAGCACCTTTTAAACCCTGTCAATACAACTCACAGGTTAATCAAACGATCATTTGGTAACGCCTTTCATTGCTGGAAGCAGCCGTCTTACTTGAAATCAAAACTCTTAGCCCTACGATGTGTGTTCGGGTTGTCGCCGCGTGTTTGTACGGCATCGTGTCTGATGACGACTCCGCTCCGTGTGCTAGGCAAAAGCTTCGAAGAATGTCAATTCCTGAAGGAGCTCCCAGCACGTGGAGGGAAACGTCGGACGGCGTGCAAAGCAGCACGCAGAGTGAAACCCAAAAACACGCTGGAGAGCTGTACAGCAACAACAGTGGAAACCTGCGCCTTAGTCAACCCATCGCAATAAAATAATTGATTTCTGATGTTTTATTTTAAAATACAAGTTTATGCTGTCAAAAAAAATGCTAATATACGCATGTATTTATTCAGTAACTTAATTGAAACAGTCTTAATCACATCATATATGCTAGATTGTACTGATTTACATCATTTAAGTGCGAACATTGTTTCTCTGTATTTCTAAAATCGTTCTATACGCTTTGTCGTCGCAAGTAATATCTAAAAGCATGTGCAAACCTACATTTTTCGACATTATCATGTTATCTATCAAGACTTGAAAAAAGGTCCAGAACATGGACTTTAACAACCAAAATAGATGATCACATGTGTCATGTCAAGTGCATTCAAAATATACATAGTAGATGGAAGAAAATGAACCAAGCTGCATTCAGTTGAAAACAATTGAAAATAATATACCTCATTATATTGTTCAGAACACACAGGCATAGTTTATTAGTTCCAGCAATCTTTCCTCCCAAAAAAAAATACATTCAAACTGCCCTGGGAAGACTGGTTCGATATCAACAAAGCTTGGTTCTCCCATTCGCAACTTCGAGAGGCCAACCCAATGCCTTGCGTTCGCAAACCACCGCAGGCTTAGAAGAGTCAAGTGACGTGCACTGCGCTACCTCGACCTTCCAAAAACTTTCAAGGCACTGTGATGTTTGTACTTGGTGCCCAGTCGGGGTACGTATCCAGGTCAAACAAGGGGATGCCCCAGGTGAAGATGCCCAACATGACCACCAAGACTCCGATGATGTTAATCCCCAAGCCGACCTTAATCTGGGGGTGGGAGGGAGAGAGTGGGGGTGGGGGGTGTAAATTGATTAAAATGGGATTGGTCGACGTTTTGTTTAAACAACTTTTTCACCTTTGCCTGGAATAATGTAAACGTTAACAAGGTACAGTCATCGTCTTCTGTTCGCGCAAGTCTCGCACCAAAAATTGCCGACGCTGAGAAAGGTATGTATTTTAAATGGCAACTCGCGTGTGTTAGTTAATACACTTTTGCCGTATTCTCGGGAATAAGAGCGTGACCCTCTGGCGATTCGCGTGTGTGACTGCCGACGGTGTTTGTGTGACACAAGTCAACGTGTCAGCAAGGAAATTTAGGCTGCCATCGGTCACTCTCTCGAACAAGTTAATTCCTCTGTCAAATAAGTTAACCAATGATGTTCATCAATGAGGAACCTAATGGGAAATGATTGATGATTATGTATTTAGGGATACTGAGTGTATTTGTTAAGTGTTTGAAGTCCTGGAGTTGACATTGTTTGCCTGGTGCCTTTAACTGTTGGGCCGCATAGAATCATAGAAATGGGGGTGATGTTAGTAATAACCTAAATATTCTTGTGGTTCAATAAAATAAATGTAACACTTAACTGATTAGTATTAGTCCTTATCATTAGAATACTTAGAGCAAAGTGTCCAGTCATGTGCTGATTGGTGTCATTATTTCTTTTTAGCACAAATAAAATAGGTAAATGTTGTGGGTTTACTCTCCAACACACCGGTGTGCTGGACTAGTAACGAATTGTCATGTTCTGTTTACGTGACAAATCTTACTAATTGGCTGTGTCGGGTGGTGGCGGGTTTAACGACACATATTCATATTTATGCAATATAACCCAAAAACCTCTATTATGGAAAATATTGGTCGCAAAAGCCTACATGTTGAACCAAAATATATATATATATTGTAGTGTCAAGAATGTATGCCAGGATTGTGGGGTACCGATTCAATTTGCAAATCAATGTTTTGCCATTGTGAGGCCTGTAGAATTTACAGTGGCCGCACGTATAACGCATGTGGATTGGAAATCATGTTTTATTACAATCCATGATTTTATGCATTTACCATTCTTAGCGTAGACATTCATGCTAATTCGTGACCAAATGTCTTTATTAAAGCAATGTAGCACTGTTTTGTGCAAGATGTTATTACATCTGAATCAAAATCCGACCTTTTTGGTCCAAGTGGAAAAGAGAGTTTTGCGACTGAACAATCAGATCTAAAATTAAGTGGATCGGAGATAACGTGATCGCGTACTATCTAACCAAAACTTTGCCATCCTGGTCAGCACAATAAGTTAATAAATCGATTAGCACGGCTGGCTATGTACGGTGTGTGAGAGACATTCAACATACATGAAGACTAATTTAAAATAAAAATTCACATGCAGGACTGACCAACTTGACAAAACGTTGACACGTCTCTTACCATATCGGTGACTTTGAGGTGACCGTATGTAAATACGATGGCATTCGGCGGGTTGGAGACGGGGAGGAGAAAGGCGAAGGAGGTGGAGATGGTGGCAGGAATCAAGATGAACAGTGGGTTCACGTGAATGGCCTCTGCCTGCAGGGAGGAACGTGCATCATTAGACGGTGCTGAAACAGGAGCTGCAGCAGCTCATCGTGCAGCAGGCCACGTGATCACACAGGGGTGCAAATAAAGGTGCTCAAGCCACTGCCGGCGGAAGGGCTTCCACTCGACCAGTGGTTCTTAACCTGGGGTGCATGCACCCTCTGGGGGTGCGAGATGCCCTTGCTGTGAACCAAAGGGGTGCAGGCTGCAGTAGAGGTTAAGAACCACTGCACTAGAGGAAGCGCTGGCGCGTATCTTGGCCTGCTCTTCCACGTTGGCCAGCTATGTTGAAATAGGCAGAAGCGCCCACGCTTTACCCCATCACATGCGACCTGCCAAAACCCATTAAATGTAACACGATACAAAGAGTAGCTAAATCAAACACACGTGATATGGAAGAGTAATTGGTTTTACATGAAAGTATTTTGGTAATAAACCCCAATGTGAAAGCCAAGACTTTTATGTATTTTAAATTATTCTTTGTACTTTTTTCCCCAATTTTATTCAGATCGTGTTACCTGCATCATCTCATAAGATAAAGCATCCATTCTGATTGCTTGCAGAGCAGTGCAATCCTTTATTTTAGAGTACACCCCACGAAAGTCGATCCCACCTCTGAGACCCTTTGAAACAACCTCTGTTCCACACAGTAGGGGGGAGAATTTTCCCCCTCGCTCTGCCACTGAGAATAATGTTAATTACATGACGATCAAACCAATGTAATTTTCAGGGGAGGAATTTAGCGACATCAAGCGAGGATAAAATTTAACGTTATGTTTTTTGTCCAGTCATTTTTCACTCAGCTGAGACCATTCGAACCCACGATCTCAGTGGTGCAAGCTCAACGCTCTGACTCCCAAGTCACCCGTATTTTGGCTTCATAATACTTCAATATACAACCTTTGGCCTGCTCTACTCTACACACTGGCTGCACATGAATTGTCGTTATATACTGGCATAGAGTTGAACTTGTGTTTAACGCACCAAACTGGAGAGGATGGGCAGAAACAGGGTGATGGTGGCAGGGTTGCTGGCCACCTCAGTGACAGTGGTGACCAAGAGACAAGACAGGAGGATGATCAGCCACACGGGCATGGTGTTTAGAGACACGAGCTTGCTCCCAATCCACTCTGACAGCCCTGACACCTGTACGGAAAAAAAAAAACAGAGGCAGCACAATCCATTAGTCTCCTCCACCAAGTTTCCGATTCACTTTTACAGTCAAATATATGCCATTCATTCGAATGGAAGCCATCTCGAGAAAAAAAATCCATCGGATGGGTATGAAATAAAAATGTATTTACAGCCTTTGGCAATCCAACCGATGGATGAAGACCTCGTTCCACCGTGCCAGTTGTGGGAGTCGTTTAGCAAACACAGTACTTCACCACGCTCGCTCATGGGCATTCTGGGTAGGAGGGTGGATGGCCAAGGATCAGTTTAGATATCACTCGGCACTGATTTTAGCTGTGGCTGACAATTGAACTTAGGTTGCTGGGTTCATTATGAAACATTGAAGACATCCTCCGAACAAGCGCCCTCCACTCGTGAACAAGCTAAACAAGTACATTATATTCTGTTAAATTAATGCGTTTAGAAGACAGTGAATGCGTTTCAAGTATAATTAAACGAGACAATTGATTGCTTTAAATTATGGACACTAATAATTGGAAGGCTATTGTAAAAACAACACATAAATCACAGCACATGGCACTACTAAGGGAACCAATTGCGGCACGTCACTCAACTTATTCTGCGTAAATAACTATGTTCTTCAATCCCAAATCATAGCAGCTGGAATGTCCTGAGAGTAAAAACTCAATCAGGCACACTCTCATCCATACACTGGGCTGCTTCAAACATGGAACGATCTCCAAGAAACACAAACATATTCCGCCAGTCTCAACTTATTTAAATCTTAAATCAGAACAAATTTCGACAACATTTGCAACTGTTACGGCTAGGGTACATTCTATATGAACTGGTGGTGTGCATCATTACATTATCTGTGGCATCGTTGTTGTGCTTGACTGCAGTGCAAAGTTCATTGTATGCAGTATTGGTTATAGATATTAAAATAATAAGAATTGACATTTATTTGTAAGGTGCTTTCCACTAATGTCTCAAAGCGCCTTGTAAGAATAAGGATAGGCCAAGAGAGAAAGAAAAGCTAAATATAATAAAATTATTTAAGACAATGTTTTTTAAGATGACACTTACAAATACCCACATTAGCGGATAAATGTTTGCATCCAATCATTACGTTTTTGCTGTCGATGTTTCAAATGGACGAATCCCGGACAACACTTGCAAATGAGATGTTTCATCTCAAGCTATTGTCCAAGCGAAATATCTGAATGCATTATGACATAGGATGGGTGTCGCTCACCTGACTCCCCCTTGCCAGGGCGAATCCTCCTCCGACGAGGAAGGACACCTCCCACGGCATGCAGCGCTGGAAGTCCTTCCATGAGATCATGGGCTTGAAGGAGGAATCGGAGAGGCCCTCTCCACCCGTCTCGACTGAAACGCGTCGGCAAAGAAAGACACACCCGTCAAGCCACGCGTCACAACGATAGCAATAGTTTATCACATTTGGTAGTCACTCCGTTCGTATAGGCGCGAGGCTATCAGGAAAGCACCATGTTTCACAGGCGATGATATAAAATTTTGATTTAAAGCTTTCGTGGCTGCAGTAATTCATATTCTTAGCTCTTTCGGTAAAGTCACGTTGAAGGGAAACAATAAAATAATAAAATATATATAAAACAATAAAATCTTAACCGAAAGAGCTAAGAATATAAAAATAGGCGATGATATCTTTCGGTTAGGGGCGATGGTGCTTCGGAAACTTTTCCCAATTATATAATTTGCCGGTAATCTTTCATGTTTCGCAAAAGTTTGGACTGTGAAGCCAGCACATGTGACCGAACCCTTTTTTGAACATCACGGAATGTTTATTATTTAATGGGAGTGTGTGCTTATGGTTAACACACCGACAGTAATAACCATGGTGGGCTCGAACAGTAAAACTTTTCCAACAAACGACAAACACACGATCGCTCAAGAAAGTCATCGTAAATATTTTTGTGAAAGTTTTATAATCCTGCTTGCAAAACTAGAAGCCATTACAATTTCAAAATCGTTCGTTTGAATTAAGCTTTTGGGGTGCGTATGGAATTATTGTGATGACAACTTTATTGCTTATACAATAAAATATGGTTATGAAGATTTATTTTAAGCAGCAATCATGTCCATCAGGTCTCATTAGCATGCTAAACCCAGCTGTGAATGACTTTCAAAGTATAATATAATTAGCAAAGACACTCAGAATATGCCAATGTAAACGCATTGCTCGATTTCAGTGCTATACAAGTTTTCCTCGCTCTCTGCAGGTTCGGTTTGCGCGATTTGCGTACATGCGGCTAACCTATTTCTACCTAAAATGCGCTATATGCAATTCACTCATGTGCGACTATGTGGTCTGACGTGGGACAACATTGTGTGTGTACTATGTGTGTGTACTGTGTATGTACTGTTTGTGCTGTGTGTAAAGTGTGTAAAGTGTGTGTGTACAGTAGAACCCCTCTTAACGACGACGCCTGTAAACGATAAATGGCTTAACGACGGGCCTCCATAGAGCCCAATGTGTAGTGTATAGTAGTGTAGTATATAGCATTGTAGACTATTATACACTACAATTTGTAGTGTATAATAGTGTAGTGTATAGTAGTGTATTGCCTCCATAGAGCCCAATGTGTAGTGTATAGTAGTGTAGTGTATAGTAGCCCAATGTGTAGTGTATAGTGTAGTGTATAGTAGTGTCGTGTATAGTGTAGTGTATAGTAGTGTAGTATCTCCATAGAGCCCAATGTGTAGTGTATAGTTGTGTAGTGTATAGTAGTGTAGTGTATAGTGTAGTGTATAGTAGTGTAGTGTATAGTGTAGTGGACAGTAGTGTAGTGTACAGTGTAGTGGACAGTAGTGTAGTGTATAGTGTAGTGTATAGTAGTGTAGTGTATAGTGTAGTGGACAGTAGTGTAGTGTCTCCATAGAGCCCAATGTGTAGTGTATAGTGTAGTGTATAGTGCCGTGTATAGTAGTGTAGTGCCTCCATAGAGCCCAATGTGTAGTGTATAGTAGTGTAGTGTATAGTGTAGTGTATGGTGTAGTCCATAGTAGTGTAGTGTATAGTAGTGTAGTCTATAGTAGTGTAGTGTATAGTAGTGTAGTGTATAGTGGTGTAGTGTATAGTAGTGTAGTGTATAGTAGTGTAGTGTATAGTGTAGTGTATAGTAGTGTAGTGTATAGTAGTGTAGTGTATAGTAGTGTAGTGTCTGCATAGAGCCCAATGTGTTCGCTTACTGACCATTCCCTTGTTAATGACGGGCTGTTGTAGGTACAGTAAATATTAATTAATGCATTAACCATGTTTCTTTTTATGTTACGTGTTTATAATGTCGTTAGTATCTTTATGTATTAATATCCATTGATTAAATATTATAAAGTACGTTTTTTGTATGAAAAAGGGTAACTTGCGATGCTATCGGACCAAATTAAGTCTTTAACATGTATTTCCTATACACGCTGAACGACCAATTTCGTGGAACCAATTACTGTCGTTAATAGGGATTCTACTGTACTGTGTGTACCGTGTGTATACTGTGTGTGTACTGTGTGTGTGTAATGTGTGTACTGTGTGTGTGTAATGTGTGTACCGTGTGTATACTGTGTGTGTACTGTGTGTGTAATGTGTGTACTGTGTGTATGTAATGTGTGTACTGTGTGTACCGTGTGTGTACTATGTGTATACTGTGTGTGTGTGTGTACTGTGTGAACTATGTGTGTACTATTTGTACTGTGTGTGCGTACTGTGTGTGTACTGTTTGTGTACTATGTGTGTACTGTTTGTGTAATGTGTGTACGGTGTGCGTACTGTTTGTGTGTACTGTGTGTACTGTGTGTGTACTGTTTGTGTACTGTGTGTACTGTTTGTGTACTGTGTGTGGACTGTGTGTACTGCGTGTACTGTGTGTGTACTGTTTGTATACTGTGTATGTACTGTGTGTACTGTTTGTGTACTCTTTGTGTACTGTGTGTGTACTCTTTGTGTACTGTGTGTGTACTGTTTGTGTACTGTGTGTGTACTGTGTACTGTTTGTGTACTATTTGTGTACTGTGTGTGTACTGTGTGTATACTATTTGTGTACTGTTTGTGTACGGTGTGTGTACTGTTTGTGTACTGTTTGTGTACTGTGTGTACTGTGTGTGTTCTGTTTGTGTACTGTGTGTGTACTCTTTGTGTACTCTTTGTGTACTGTGTGTGTACTGTTTGTGTACTGTGTGTGTGTACTGTGTGTGTGTACTGTGTGTGTACTGTTTGTGTATTGTGTGTACTGTTTGTGTACTGTGTGTACTGTTTGTGTACTGTGTGTGTGTGTACTGTGTGTGTACTGTTTGTGTACTGTGTGTGTACTGTGTGTGTGTACTGTTTGTGTACTATTTGTGTACTGTGTGTGTACTGTTTGTGTACTATTTGTGTACTGTGTGTGTACTGTTTGTGTACTATTTGTGTACTGTGTGTGTACTGTTTGTGTACTGTGTGTGTACTGTTTGTGTACTGTGTGTGTACTGTGTGCACTGTTTCTGTCCTATTTGTGTACTGTGTGTGTACTATGTGTGAAATGTGTGTACTATTTGTGTACTATTTGTGTACTGTGTGTACTGTGTGCGTACTATGTGTGTAATGTGTGTACTATTTGTGTACTGTTTGTGTACTGTCTGTGTACTGTTTGTGTACTGTGTGTGTGTACTGTGTGTGTACTGTTTGTGTACTATTTGTGTACTGTGTGTGTACTGTGTATGTACTATTTGTGTACTATTTGTGTACTGTGTGTGTACTGTGTGTGTACTGTGTATATACTATTTGTGTACTATTTGTGTACTGTGTGTGTACTGTGTATGTACTATTTGTGTACTATTTGTGTATTGTGTGTGTACTGTGTGTGTACTGTGTATGTACTATTTGTGTACTATTTGTGTACTATGTGTGTACTGTGTGTGTACTATTTGTGTACTGTGTGTGTACTATGTGTGTAATGTGTATACTATTTGTGTACTATTTTGTGTACTGTGTGTGTACTATGTGTGTAATGTGTATACTATTTGTGTACTATTTGTGTACTATTTGTGTACTGTGTGTGTACTGTGTGTGTACTGTGTGTGTACTATTTGTGTACTATTTGTGTACTGTGTGTGTACTGTGTGTGTACTGTGTGTGTACTATTTGTGTACTATTTGTGTACTGTGTGTGTACTGTGTGTGTACTGTGTATGTACTATTTGTGTACTATTTGTGTACTATGTGTGTACTGTGTGTGTACTATTTGTGTACTGTGTGTGTACTATGTGTATAATGTGTGTACTATTTGTGTACTGTGTGTGTACTGTGTGTGTGTACTGTGTGTGTACTGTGTATATACTATTTGTGTACTATTTGTGTACTGTGTGTGTACTGTGTATGCACTATTTGTGTACTATTTGTGTACTGTGTGTGTACTATGTGTGTACTATGTGTGTACTGTGTGTGTACTATTTGTGTACTGTGTGTACTATGTGTGTACTATTTGTGTACTATTTGTGTACTGTGTGTGTACTGTGTGTGTACTGTGTATGTACTATTTGTGTACTATTTGTGTACTGTGTGTGTACTGTGTGTGTACTGTGTATGTACTATTTGTGTACTATTTGTGTACTATGTGTGTACTGTGTGTGTACTATTTGTGTACTGTGTGTGTACTATGTGTGCAATGTGTGTACTATTTGTGTACTATTTGTGTACTGTGTGTGTACTGTGTGCGCTAGTGGCCAGGCAGCTGTCTCCTGCGGTTCCGCTTTGTAAGCCCTTTTTTTGGAACTCATCGGCCGGCCGCACAGAGGGAGGGGAACCACATTAGGGTTTTTTTTTCCCCTTCGGTCATTCTGGTGACCCAGGTGACCCCTGCGAGGCGGACGGTCCCGTTAAAACACCCAGGGCCTTACGCCACCTGGTATCACGCTCCACAGCTGATCTATGGCTCGGTGTGACTGCCGGCACCTATTGTTTAACATGCCGTCAGATCGCTCTCCAACACACCGGTGCTGGGCTGCAGCTGTGACAAGTTTATTGGTTGGCCGTGTAGGGTAGAGGAGGGTTTTACGACACGCAGCATTTTTTTTTACGTGATCTGACCCCCCCCCCCCCCCCCCTTCTATTACGAGACGGTGCTGGTTTCTTGAGTTCTCATCCCCCCCCCGCCCCCCCGGTTAAACAAAAGTAAACTACTGAAAGAGCATCAGAATGAGGGAGCAATGGCAATGTGAGGCTTGCCATTTCCTGCGGATCCGCAGAAAAAGAGGCATCGTGGCCGCGTCTGGGGGATGATGAAAAGCAGGAAGCCAAGCATGAGGGCCGGAGTGGCATCTCCCTGATATCCTTTCCTGAAAATACAGAAACCATCGCATTAATAGATCATACAAATTCGTAGAAGTTCCACGTGAACGCAAAGGCTCTCGTGTTGTTTAAGTTGGATATAATAAAGTTTTTTTTTTCTCCTTCACATTTTCCCAACTTTAATCCCGATTGTGCCATCGGCGTCACGTCATGAGATGACGCCTTCATTCAGATCCCACACAGAGGAGTACAACTCTTCGTGTTGACGAGCGGTCCACGGAAGCGGATATCTCAGAGCTACCTCTGAGATCCCTGCGATTGATGTCTGTTCCACTCAGCAAGAGGCAGCAGTTTCCCACCTGCTCCGCAATTTGACAGTAATGTTCATCACTCGCTTTATGCCCATAATTTTACATTTTTAATAAAGATTACTGGCGTGTCAGCCAATACAAAACCGAAAATCATTGTTTTATTTGCAATGTGTAAATAGAGTAGGAATATTCGTTGTCATCATTTTATAAATAGAACTAAGAAAATTACCCATCGGGATGCTTTTTAACAACTGTAGAGGATCACAATCAACATATTTATACTGGAGGAATACGATGAGCTATGAAGCTCTTTTTCACGGATGTCCAGCTCAGCACAAAACCCCCCAAAAACATTGTACCTTGCTTAACAAAGCAAAGGTCAGACTGTTTTGCTCGCAGATTTTACCACCTCCAAAGTGAAGCTGTCGTAACCTCAAGTGACTCAGGGGTGCCCTGAGTTATTTTTACGTTGTTATACTATGGCGCACCGTGGTTCAACCGGTGGTTGACCTGGCTTGGAATCCCGATCACCACGACGAACTTCGGTGGGCGTGCGGCATGTGAATCAGTGCCAGGCACTCCCTTCGTCAACCCCCCGCTGACCAGAGTGGTCAAGCAACAACCACTCCCGACATGGCACCCGGGAGGTCTTCATCCAGCAATTAATTCATTGATGGAATATGCATTAATATTTACACGAAGACAATGAAATCCCACCCACTGTGATTATTTGACACGCAGCTGTAGATTCTCGCGGTGGCCCAAATTGACACAGGGCTCAAGGCGCAAAGAATGCTCAAAATTAGAGGAGACGTACGGTCCGATGACGGAGGCCCAGCCGGGCATGAAGCCCGGTTCACGCGTGAACCACAGGATGGCCATCAACAGGAAGATGATCGCAGCCACCAGCTCTTGATAGCTGCATTCAATCAAGATACCAGCAGCTCACAGTCAGCCTCAAATAGGGACAAACTCGCCCATAACTACACTCATCGCACTCCTCGGAGCTCGAACATGTGTTGCCGCACCACGAAGCAAGTTACTTATTTACATATTTTTCTCCCCGGAACACTGCGACATTTTCCGAAGGGTGTTGTAGTTTTTTTTTTTTACAATTGAGATTTCTCACCACAGGCACAAAGGCCAATACGGGAGTAAAGATAAGAGGAGTTCAACCCTTGCAATTGCTTGCTCACGCCACCGCTGGGTGAAGGACCTCCACGACAGGAAGCTCCAGAGAGCTCCTCGAGAAGGTGTCTGGCCTACTCCTCCACACTGGCCAAACGTCCGAGATGATGTGGAAGTACCCAAACTCTACTCAACAACACATGACCCACCGATCGACTGCTGGGTGGACGGAGGCAGGACATTTTTTTGAAACTTTCCCCATTGTTTCAAATCAAACTGGCGACCTCTGCATTGGAAGTACATTGTGCGAACCATTATACCATGGCAAACTTGCATTGCTCGTATAGCATACGGGAGCTAACACACCCGTCTTTGATTTGAGCAAGGGGACGATGGCACGAGTTCAAAAATCGTGCGGTGAGAGGAACAGAGGAGGAGGAAGAGAAATGTATTCGTCCAGCAGTACATTTTGCCGCACACTGCATGGGTGAGACGAGACCGTCAAATCGACGCCACACCGTCCCTCACGAGGATGGAGGCATCAAAGTGTGAAGTTCACAGGAGCGACGGCTGTGCTCATAGCGATAAGGGTAATAAGATTGGAGCGAAGCAAAATGAAGTAAAGCTTTCGACCGATTGCCTTTGACCGCCCGGCATATACAATACGCTGTACGCGCAAGTGTGTGCTGGCAGATAAAGTGTACGGGTTTAACGATGGATTATGAGGGATTTATAGTTCAATAGGTTGGAAGTTGTGTCTCTCTGTGAACGATGACCACTTTGATAAGTTAAGGATATCAAGTCAGGTAACAACTGATTTCACATGCTGCTTTTAATGCATGTAGCCAGCTCATGATGATCAGGTGTCCACCGCACATTTCGTCCAGAGAGTGAACATTCAGGGAAGTTATTAATTTTTTCTACAAGCCACACAATTACGTGAACGCATCTTCACATCCACGCGACTAAATGTTCCAGCTCTTCAATGGCAACAATTGTGTATAATGTGTGCCGCAGCCTCACCTGAAGGGACCGAGCTGCTGATATTCCTTCTTAATGACAGCTTCCGCGGCCAATTCCTTTTCGGTTTTTGCGCATTTGAACATGTGCGCAAAGCTTTGAAAACGACATGGGGAAAAAAAAAATAAGGAGATTATCAGACGATTCCCACCGCCCCCCCCCCCCCGCTCACCCCCTCCTCAGGTGACCGCGGAAATAATCACCGGCACATTGACTGCGGATAGTTTGCAGCACGGCTTTGCGCCGCGTCTCAACTTACTTGAAGCCGAGGAAGATGATGTGCATCCAGACCCAGCTGAGAATGAGGATGATGAACGAAATTGGCAAGGAGAAGCTAATCCAGGAGGTAAAGTTAATGCAGTCGCATTCCGGGTATCGTCTGCAAGTGAAAAGTAAAAAAAATATATAAAGGCGTGAATTAATGTGTGTGGGGGGGGGGGGGTTCTTTTATTTAAAGCACAGTCAAGTCAGAAAAAATAAACTTTCAGAATCTAGATAATAAATTACGTTTTTGCAATATATATAATATATATTTGTTTTGCTATTCGCCATTTTAACAAATTTCTATTAAACTAATGAGTTTGACAGGCGAAGAATTTCCACGTGATTATGTCTTCTAAACTTTTTTTAATATATCGGGTAAGGCCCATTGTGCTAAGAAGCTGTTTTTTTCAATGGCGACCCAGGCAAAGCAGCAAGCACGTTACGTGGGAAGGGAAGGTCTACACAAAAACACGGTCATTTTTTTAATATCCAGAACTATGTGCTTATGAGGCATTCAATAAATTGCAGTGATATGGGGTCGCGTTTTAAAAGCTGATTCGTTGTCACGTGGTATTGCCTCATTTGTATTCTCTTTCATGTGATCTCACTTGCTGCATCTCGTTGGTTCCATAAGCCAAACGTAACATTTGATATAATTTGCAACATTTTTAACCAATCAATGATGACACACAATAACCGATGCATGTATTGTGAGGATAAACATCTATTTTAATGTAATTGATTAATTGTTACATGCCTAATATAGTATTCACATAATGACTGTCTTCCATAATGATAACTAATAAACATTTGTTTGCATACATATATTTCTTATTTCGTGATTCCAGTGCCTTGACGTGGAAATAATCAAAAGGAAATGACTTGAAAGTGCATGGTCTCCTGCCAAATATTAAGCAATGTAATTTGAATTTTGATTTAAAGCTTTCGTGACTGCAGTAATTCATATTCTTAGTTTTTTCGGTAAAGTCACGTTGAAGAGAAACAACAAAATAACAAAATATATATAAAACAATAAAAAATTCTCACGACGTTTCGACCATAACTCAAACGGTCATCATCAGGTGTGTCGGTTTGCATAAATTTATTTTGAAAACGGCATATTTATTTATATATATAAAAATAACGTTTGCGTCACGCGCAACGATGGCAGTTTGCCAGGACTAGTCCATCTATTTTTTGAAAAGAGGAGGGGGGAGACGAAATTTGTTTTTATGTATGCTGTCTGAAAGGCACTGTAAGCGTGAACAATCAATCAAGAACTGAAATGATTTATCAAATCTTTCCAATGATTGCTAAGATAGAATCCATCTTCTCGGTTGAAATTGTCTCTGTGTTTGTATATGTGGATAGCCTCATGAACGAATCTCTCATGGAAGCCAGATGGCTTACAAAGAACCTCCGTCTTGGAAAAGTCAATGGCATGTGAGCCTACTGAATTAGAACAATGATCTGCTACGGCCGAGGTGTTGGTCCTACCGTGTTTAAGGTCTGCTTTATGTTCACGAATGCGGTCCGAGATATGGCGTTTGGTTTCTCCAATGTAACTACTACCACAGAGGCAACTTAGTTTGTAGACACCAGGGTATTGTATGTCCGGAATCACATCTTTTACAGACGGAACCAGATCACGGATTTTATGTAATGTGTTGAAACGGACCTGGATCTTGTGTTTATTCAAGATTTTGGAGATCTTTTTTTTTTTTTTGAATAAACACAAGATCCAGGTCCGTTTCAACACATTACATAAAATCCGTGATCTGGTTCCGTCTGTAAAAGATGTGATTCCGGACATACAATACCCTGGTGTCTACAAACTAAGTTGCCTCTGTGGTAGTAGTTACATTGGAGAAACCAAACGCCATATCTCGGACCGCATTCGTGAACATAAAGCAGACCTTAAACACGGTAGGACCAACACCTCGGCCGTAGCAGATCATTGTTCTAATTCAGTAGGCTCACATGCCATTGACTTTTCCAAGACGGAGGTTCTTTGTAAGCCATCTGGCTTCCATGAGAGATTCGTTCATGAGGCTATCCACATATACAAACACAGAGACAATTTCAACCGAGAAGATGGATTCTATCTTAGCAATCATTGGAAAGATTTGATAAATCATTTCAGTTCTTGATTGATTGTTCACGCTTACAGTGCCTTTCAGACAGCATACATAAAAACAAATTTCGTCTCCCCCCTCCTCTTTTCAAAAAATAGATGGACTAGTCCTGGCAAACTGCCATCGTTGCGCGTGACGCAAACGTTATTTTTATATATATAAATAAATATGCCGTTTTCAAAATAAATTTATGCAAACCGACACACCTGATGATGACCGTTTGAGTTATGGTCGAAACGTCGTGAGAATTTTTTATTGTTTTATATATATTTTGTTATTTTGTTGTTTCTCTTCAACGTGACTTTACCGAAAAAACTAAGAATAACAATGTAATTTGTTTAACGTATTTACAGGTAAATCATAATCTTGGATATTTCAACCAGTTAATTGGGCAGGTTTGGCTCAAGAAAGATGTATAGGGTCAATATTCTCACCCTAAAAGTAAATGTATATGCACAGTAGAACTCCTCTTATGCGCCGTGATGTGAGTGACAAACATTGTGTATCCTATTCTACGCGATGTGATGTGCAAATTGACTCCACTCATGGACAGAACAAATCATGGCTAATATAGGACGGCCTTGCCAATGATCTCCACGTATCTAAAAGTGTTTTCTTTGATGCCGTGCTAAACATTTTTTTGCGTAAAAAACCACCACGACAAACTCGTCGACAAGCGGAAGCCATTCCGAATGCAGGACAGCACAAAACCGCGGACAACCGCGTATGGACAACGGGAAATCTAGGGCTGGCGCGCAGACAAGAGGAGTTCTCCCGTGTCTGTGTTGGTGTCCGCGCGGAGCCGAGTGCCGCCCGTACGTGTTAAACTGCTCGGCGAAGATGAGGTTGGTGGAGGTGCCCGTGATGGTGGTGATCCCGCCGATGGTGGAGGCGTACGCCACGCACAGCGACAGCGACTTGCACAGCATCTGCTGGCTCTGCGAGTGGTAGCGGCTCGGCACCGCAGGAGCCTCCGCGTCTCCTTCCACCTTCTGCGGGCGACGACGTCGTAAGAATAATCGTGATTTATAACACGAAATAAGCCGCTCGTCGCGGAGAATCTTCACGAGATGTCGCGTATGTGTGTATGTTATCTACTTAAAACTTTGGTGACTGTAGGAATTCATATTCTATGGTTCTTTCGGTAAAGTCACGTAGCTTAAAATTTTTGTTTTTAACAATAAAATAATAAAAATTAAGTGAATAAAAAAAAAAAATTCACGACGTTTCGATCGCAACGCAAGCGGTCGTCATCAGGAACTTTCGTGTTGCGATCGAAACGTCATGATGTTTTTATTATTTTTTTATTCACTTTATTTAAATTTTTATTATTTTGCATATCTACGTGACTTTACCGAAAGAACTATAAAATATGTGCGCATGCGTTCGCGTTTATGCGCCGTGTAGTTTTGTGTTGAACTAGGACGCGTTTCTGAGACAGGATCCATGCCTGTAAACATTGGTTCAAGCAAGCCTGGGTCTGCTGGTGAGATAATTAATGTGGAAACTGCTGTCGAGTTTCCTCGTCTTGAACCAATGTTGCTCATGAGATGCACTTCTCAGGATGCCATGCAGCTGATAAGTTGCAGTAAAACATACCTTTTTAAATTTGGTATCAGTGTCATTCTTGTCACTCAATCACCCTAAATACGTGTGGCAGCATGATGACGCTTGTGCCTCACAGCAAGAAGTACACAGGTTCAATTCCCGCCTGCTGTGCCTTTATAAGTGGAGTTTGTATGTTTTCCTTCCAGTTCTGCACACGTTTCCTCAACGTGCTCCGGTCTCCTCCCAAAGCTAACACACAACACCGTAGTTGATGTTGGACAAACATCCCCAATGCAAGGCCCTCCTTAAAAAAAAACATGCCTCTGAACTCAGTGTGGCTTTCCTGAGTAAGTAATTGTTGTTGTTGTGATATTACGATGAAGACATCAGACCCGCGGGGCTTCAAACGAGACGCGACTGACAGGTGTGTACATAACGCTGCGGTGCGTTAACAGCGACGCGTCTGCTTCGCGTTGGAAGCGCATCAGTGCAATTATTGGGTCTACCATGCGCTGTCAGCTTCTCATAATCATGTGCTGCAATTGCATGGCTCACTCGAACACTGTCGTCATCACACCTCTTTAGCCATTATGTGCCAACATTATAGGCCAGATGTAAAATTACGGGGGGGGGGGGGGGGGGGGGGGGACGGACAAAAGTCCACCTACACAAACGCCGGTTAACAAGGCTTCCTTCATATTCTTGGTTCTTTCGGTAAAGTCACGTAGTAGGGAAACAATAAAATAATAGGAATATAAAACAATACAATTCTCACGACGTTTCGACTGCAACACAAGCAATCATCATCAGGTGTGAAAACCACAACAAGAAACTTTGAAAAAAGTGGCGGTTATTTTTAACGTTAGCACCACGGAGAGCGATTTGACAGTTTGTTCAGATGGACGAGTCCATCTATGTTCGGAAAAGAGGAGGGGGGAGACGAAAAATAATGGCTGCGGTCTGAAAGCCACCTTAAGCGTGATCAATCAATTAAGACCCGAAATGGTTAATCAAATCCTTCCAATGATTGCTAAGCCAGAATCCATCTTCTCGTTTGAAATTGTCTCTGTGTTTGTTATATGTGGATAGCCTCATGAACGAATCTCTCTCTCAAATCGCTCTCCGTGGTGCTAACGTTAAAAATAACCGCCACTTTTTTCAAATTTTCTTGTTGTGGTTTTCACACCTGATGATGATTGCTTGTGTTGCAGTCGAAACGTCGTGAGAATTTTATTGTTTTATATTTTTATTATTTTCTTGTTTCCCTTCTACGTGACTTTACCGAAAGAACCAAGAATATGAATCCCTGCAGTTACGAAAGCTTTAAATCAAAAGGCTTCCTTCGGGAAATATAACCACGGACGTTCTTGCATTGTGAAAAAAGAAAATACGCATTTTCTTTCGTAGAAAATTACGACACACTCATTTACTAAGTTACGTATGCTTACAATTGATTCTACAATTGATCTTGCAGTGCTGCACACCTCTCCGTTGACAGCCTGAAAGAAATGACATTCATCGTCATCATCAGTCGTGCTCTATCTACTGCTGCACAAAGATATCACCAAGTCACACACGGCCGTCACACGACCTCGCGACACCTGACGGTTGGTCCATCATCCCCCGTCTAATGTCGGGGGCCCACTTTTATTCGCAGTCAAGTAAAACATTTTGATACTATAACTACAGTACTTGTACAGTTACATACAACGTTCACAATAACCACAGCCACTGCTATTGCCCACAATCAGAATTGATGCTATGATAGCGTGACAATAATGACGGAAATAAACAAAACTGCTGAATCTATACGCTTTTCTTGCAGTTATATGCAATCACAGGTCCGGAGTTGTGTAAAAAAATAAGGCTGCTTACATAACTCATTAACATTGTGTTGTGACACTGGCATGTGGATTATCATCTGTGTTCTGCACATAAAATGCAATCGTTTGTTTTTGCTCAGATTGACTTTCGTTAACCCGCTGCACTTGAGTTGACCATTTTTTGGCGACACGTTTTATTTACTTTTCGGTCATTTTTGGGCGGAACCACGATACGCACCTTCTTGCTGTCCGTGTTGCTGTCAAGGGTACAATACTCGACATCAATTCTGGAAGACAACATGATAACGAAATAACGCTCTGTCAAGATCGGTCACACCGCGGTGAGATGCGATTTTTTTTCTGCAGTCGAGATACAAAGTGCGTCTCTGGACACTGCGCAAATTAATTGGGTGGAAATACGGCCACTTCGGAAGCAACACAGAATATAATCATAGCAACAACTGGAAAGGAAGTGCATGACAATAGGTAGTGGCCAAAGGCCACGGGCACTGCTATAAAATGTGTTTATTTTATCAAGCGACGGATATGCACAACATCACACACACATGACCCTGATACTGCATCTATCTACATTGGGTGGAGTATGAAATACAGTTCACAAAAGCCAGCGCAGGGTATTATTAACAAGGCTAAGATGGCACGGAGTGTTTAACCCACGCACAACAACAACTCGCAATGAAAACCAAGACCAACAATAACGTATTCTAATGTTCCCAATAATAAATACTTGAATTTGCAGTCGCATTACGGTCTCATAGGGTTGCAGAGACCACTATTGACCTGTGATGCAAGCATTCAGTGAGGCTTTTTTTTAACACGGGGGCATGTAAAGTTGAATAACGATCATCCAATACGACCAAAACTTCGTGTTTCTACTCAGAAAAAAACTTGGCAAATAAAAAGAAAGAAAACAGTGCTAAAGAGTATTCCCCTTGGCATTTCCCGCCTTGCTGGCTGAGGCGCGCCCATCTGCCCTCCCATTGCCTTCCGACGACGTCACGCTGTGCATGGCATGTGACATAATTTCATATAGTTCGGCTCGAATAAATAGTCATTATCGCCAATTAAGCAATTCTAAGGACGAAAATACGTTGTAAAACGTTTACAGAATCCATGCATATGCGCGATTTTTATCTTTCTTGCCCACACGTCTTCAGCTCGCGTTGCTGTAACATGAGCCACCTTTGCTTCATTCCATCACAGACCCTGTACTCAATATGCCCGCAGACTATTTGGTCATTTGTCTTTGACCTCATCTGTCAGTCTGACTCTGCGTGACGCTGACATACGTTGAACATTGTCCAGGAAGCCCAAGTCATTTTTTTTTTAAACAAAGGAAGTGATTTCAGTTTACACATATTTACTGGTTGGATTTGTTTCCATCTTGTCGATTTTGTTTACGTGAGAAAGAAACGCGAGTTTAAAATACTACCGGAGAAAGATGCTGGGAAAAAAACAACTGCATTCTTCGTAAATGTTGAATTGTGCCCAAAATATAGTACATTTACCTTTCCAACGAATCTTGCATTTCGGTTTCTTGAAATTCTAACTCTGTAACAAAAAAACAACGATTTGCACGTGTTATTCGCACAGCTTATTGCAATACAACACAGAAGCACATGCCTCTAATCCTGCAAGCAGCTGGCAAGTGAGTGTTGGTGATCTCACAATTTGTTTTGTGGCCAGGAGATGGAAATACAGAAAGTTGATTGGATCCATCTGTGCGGAGCTCTGACGGTTATTTTAGCACGTAGGGTTTTCGCAGACACTCGTAAATCAAGTGTGGTATTTTGTATAGGAGGGTTGGTCAGCATAGCCCGTTTTAAGATGTCCACAGTAGTGCGTGGGAAAAGCTTGAGAGAATAAATGCTTAAGACATGGCCTAAAATAAAGGACCAGAGTTTGAGAGTTGTATTCTTTCTGTGCCTGGGTTTCGCCGGGTTCTCCGATTTCCTCCCACGTATCAAAATAATCGGCCAAACATCCCAATGCAAGATCCCCTTGAACACACATCCTACGACTAAGTAAGGCTTCCTGGATAAACAAAGGGCAATTTTATTCCTCTTATTATTCTTATTTTCATATGAAGTATGTACATAATATGAACACATGTGTCCACAAATACAGTGACTGTGTATAATGCGTTTATAGTTTCATTTCATAAATCAAGCACAGAGCAAACATTATATACTCAATAACGTGTTCTTATTCAGCTATCCATCTATAGGTATCCTGAGCAAGTAATTACAACCAAACAATCATTACATTTGATAGGTTTGCCCGGTCTCCAGGTCAGGTCATGTGCTTTCATAAAAACAAACATGCATTTTGAATAGGGACTTTAAAAAAATGGGGAAAATTGCCTATGGTTTTTGAGGAATAAGCAAAATTACAAATATTTAATCGTAATAATTTACATTTGTAAGGCGCATTTCATCCGTAGATGCTAATGTGCCATGTATGGAATGCAGGAAATAAATAGAACCTGCAGGGTTAATAGCCAGAACTAGTGGGAGGTTAAGGCCAGTTTAAAGAGGTGAGTTTTCAGTACACACTTAAATATACTCTTTGGTTCTTTCGGTAAAGTCACGTAGAAAATAAAATCAAATAATAGAGTAATTCCTGCAGTCACGAAAGCTTCGAATCTACACTTAAATATCTCTAACGATTCTGTTTGTCATTTGCAAAGCGTTCCAAAGCTTGGGAATTGCACGGGCAAAAGCACCACGACCCCAGGAACAGAGCCTTAGTTCATAGTTCCATTCATTTGGTATAGCCCTGTGAGCCATTCGGCTCTTGAATCGGGTGCAACCGCAACAAACAAAAAACATGAACAAGAAAACATCTTAAAGTGACTATGTGACTGTGCAAACATAAAATCCAGGAAAAAAACCCATCAACATATTCCTGAAATAGCACCGTACACCAACGCTGTGTGCAAAAATCCCAGTGGGATGCAAGTCAAACAACAACAATAACAACCACAAGGCAACTAAGATTAAGGCCATCAGTCTAACTCCGTACTGCAATAAACAAAAACATGGCTAAACAAAAAAACTTTTCGAAATCACAAAAATAAAGCCATAAATGCAATGTAACAGTGATCATAGGGACTCTGACCGAGTTTTTAACAATAAACTACATAAATAACATGTTACACCAAACCTGAGAGACATAGCTGGCTGCATGAGTCACTCCACAACAACAGGAGCATCAGTCGGAGTATCACATTTTTCAATGCACCTTTAAGATCAGCACGCCAAATCAAAATACAGGTAGTACTTTGCAGCGGTCATCCGGAGCGAAACATTTTATTTTAGGCCACTGAATAGCAGTGGCAGCTAGGGGTGTACAACTCCTCTAGAGCAGTTTTGAGTGAAGATCTCATAGGTAGTGATTCAAGTTGCAGTTTATTGGCGATAGCATTCCAGACCCTGTGTCCACAAATTCAGTGACCTCGGAGTGCTGAGAAAGCGGCGATCCGAAGCTATCAGGGACCTCGTTGAAGTCTAAGAAAAAGAGTAGGGCCCAAAGTAGCTCAAGGGACACCAAATTTATGAAAAAAAGGTGCATCGAATATCAACTCAAATGTAAATTCTGATAAAACCTCAAAAGTAATTCACTTGTTAAAATGACAATGAATCTCTCTCAGCTCTACCTCGTCTGCATTTCTCTTCTCGCATCTCACGTCACCTCTATTTTTGTTCACATTTCCCTGAACTCATCTCATCTATATTTATTGTCATCTGCGTCTCTTTCGTCGCCTCACTATCATTTTATAAGTTCAACTGAGTGCCGCCTCCCCCCCCCCCCCAACAAAAAAAGAGTCTGCTTAGGGCCTCTAATGGCCTGGCACCCCATAACAAATAAATCGCGAGTGCGAAACGACTTCGCGACGCCACGTGGAACGACTTCGCGACGCCACTCGCCTTCGTCCACGACGGCGGCGTTGACGTGGCAGCTGCCCTCCGCCTCCCCGTGCTCCAGGTTGTCGATTGACGCCTCCGCGTTCATGATCTGCACCAGCATGGCCTCCACGATGGGCATGAGCATGGCCGCCGTGGAGGTGTTGCTCAGCCACATGGACAGGAACGCGGCCGTCACCATGAAGCCCAGCATGAGCCTGTGCGTCAAAAGCCGCGCAGTCCAAATCAAAGGGGGTGTGAGCGAGAGCGCTGGGCGTTTCGCGCCGCTCTTCTTTCTCTGTCACGGTGCAGCCTATGTCGAGAAGGCGACGTGTTTGGCCGACATAGGCTGCACGCAGTTTCGCAGTTGCAGCAGCAGAGTAGATATTAGCGGAGGTGGGGGCGGAGGTGGGGGGCGACACCACTCGAGCGCCAAGTGCCCTCAGTAACTCTGGGCTCCCGTTCACCTTGGAACTCGTGAGCTATTGGGCCATGATGTGACCACATCTCCGAAAACCCAGTGACAGAAACTGAGCCTCTGGAATTGCTGTCCGCAGAGATTTTTTGTATCCAAATGACAGACCTTGCTAACCCTGACCATAATTTTGCTTACCTATTTAGCGGTGCATTTCAATTCCCATCTCTTAAGGTTTCAGCAGATTAAATATCAACATAAAGTGTGTCACTTCTTTCGTCTTCGTGAAGGGTTAGAGTTTAGCAGTTGAGGTTACAGTTTAACTGTTAGGGTTTGGAGTTAGGGGTTAGGCAAAGGTACAGTGGTACTTAAAATCGTTTGTTGTGCTGTATCTATGGATACAGTCATCTTAGCCATTGGATGGACGATGCACTTTCGGTTTCTCCCATTCGGATCACGGGAAAAGCAGACGGAGCAAAATCATTTTTCAAGACTATGAAGAAAACTAGGTATTAACGTTATATATCGATCAATCAATTCCAAAAATATTGTAATTAAGGTATTGGAAGAGGGCATTTACACATTAAGTTCATGGATAAATGTAATTTCAAAATTTACAGCATGAATTACTGGCACACATTATAAAATACTTATTGCAAAAAATATCTATCTCGAACATCCATGAGAAAGCAATGACCATTTACATTCAGGTAAAAAAATACATTTCGAACAGAAACAACGTAGCCTACAAATATCTCACTCTGGAGAGACCACCCATCAAATCTAATTAAATTCTGACACGTCATCTCAGACGCATTGTAGGAACAGGTAGAGGCGTGGGTGGACAGAGTATCAGACAGACAGATAGACGGTATAGACACACCTCATGACAGCAAAACCCTCTGGTCCTCATCAGATGGATTCACATCGGAAGCAGGAATGAATGTGGGTGGACTTTGCGGAAGACGCGATTTTATATATTTTTTTGCTTTACACCAAAACGCCCACCCCCCACCCCACCCACTCGCCGGCATCCACTCACCAGGCCGGGTTGGAGCCCACGACCATCACCATACGTAGCGCGATGCGCTTGTGCAAGTTGGCCTTTTCGATGGCAGCTGCCAGGCAGATGACGCCCGTCAGCAACAGGTGGAAATCCTTGAAGTACTCAGCAGCCACCTGCACGAGCATAGCAGCAGCAGTAGCAGCAGCAGCACCGGTGACCGTGAATAAAAGAAAATGAATAAGGTAACTTTCACGCATAGGCGAGGGCACGCAACGAGGTAACACAGACAGACAGCCGTGCTCGTTTGATGACGATGAAACATCGACGAGGCCGCATCCGTGCAGACAGAACGACTGGGCACGTCTTGATCGCTCGCGTGACTGCTGTGCATCATTGTCTGGGCTGTGTTTGAACGGATACATTTGCGATGCAGAGGTTGCATATTAGTTCTGGGACGGAGCACATTATACAGGGTGCTTCAAAACGAACGTTTTGACGCTTCTGAGAATTTGCAACGATACCACGTGACATGCACTGCTGCCTCCCGGGATCTGGAGACCACCTGGAGAAGACTCGAGGCCACGTGTTGACGACGATGGTGAACACGTGGAGAACTCTTTGACGCTATTAACGTGTACATTTGTTATCACGTTACAGTGTATGATCCGTTCTTTTTCCATTAAAAACCATAGTGTCATATAGGTCTTTAAAAAAAATTAAGCACCCTGTATATATACATATACAAAGACAAATATCCCCCCCCATATAGCCTTAACAGACTGCTGGGGCAAGTGCTGTTAGTGAGCATGTATGAAGGCTGACACGGCGCACGAGAGGGTGGGTGGTCAGCACCACGCCCGGCCGCACCGGGTACTCAATTGAGGCTGAGTCGCCCTAGAGGGAGGCCCAGGATCGGTTCAGATAATCGTCACCGGTGTTGACCGTGAGCGGGAATGGAGCTCGGGCGGCCAGGTTTGTCGTGCGGCGAACTAACCGTGCGTGACACTACCGCACACACACAGACATTTATCACTCCAATACTGCATGAAGGCCTCCCCATGGCCATGCGGTTTATTGACATACTTCACTCTGCTGGGCAGCGCAGGTTGGTGAAAACACGAATTAGAAAAATATGGGAGCATAGCAGTACGGACAGTACAATGGATTTTTTTCCATACTTTACCCCCTGCCCATAATGTAGCCAGCCTTGCAGCCAAATCACTTGTTATGCATGGTGGTCGCCTATCAAAGCACGATCCAGGTTGAAACCCGCTTAGCTTTTGAGATCTCATGAAATCGGGTGCATTCGGTTAGAGGCATATAAACACAGTAACTGTAATGTGGAAATGTGTCTGAGAAATTGTACAACCCCATGCATGCGCCAGTAAAAGCATTAAAACAAATATGATACAATGAAACACTTTACAATGTGTTCATGGCTTTCAAGAATTCGACTGTGTATAAGCCTCATCTGCTTCTAAGCCAAAAGTCAGGTTATGTGCATGGGGTGTACAAGTGTGAACATTAACTAGAGTTTGCCTGAGCAGCTACTTTATCCCAATGAAATGCTACTTTAGTCATTTAGCCTGAGACTCAGTCAGGCATCTGGAAAATGAGTTATATGGATAGACTGACCCCCTCCATAGGAATGTGGAATTTCCACCACTGACTCTGCAGGGCTGTAAGCGGATTATCACTGCCTCAATGTTCATTTAAGCAGAAACTCACTTTATTTGAGTCTTCTATTGTTACGAGTTCAGGAATGTAATACGTGATTATTGTGATATAATTGAATTATCACAAAACAAGGAAGGAAAAACCACGCAAAGGCATGGATTCTGTAATTCTTTCCAAGATGATATAGAGTAGAACCCCTCTTAACGACCACCCCTGCTAACGACGGTCCTCCATAGAGCCCAATGTGTAGTGTATAGTGTAGTGTATAGTAGTGTATAGTGTAGACTGTAGTGTATAGTAGTGTATAGTGTAGTGTATAGTAGTGTAGTGTATAGTAGTGTAGTGTATAGTAGTGTAGTCTATAGTAGTGTAGTGTATAGTGTAGTCTATAGTAGTGTAGTGTATAGTAGTGTAGTGTATAGTGTAGTCTATAGTAGTGTAGTGTATAGTAGTGTAGTGTATAGTGTACTGTATAGTAGTGTAGCGTCTCCATAGAGCCCAATGTGTAGTGTATAGTGTAGTCTATAGTAGTGTAGTGTATAGTAGTGTATAGTGTAGTGTATAGTAATGTAGTGTACAGTGTAGTCTATAGTAGTGGAGTGTACAGTAGTGTAGCGTCTCCGTAAAGACCAATTTGTAGTGTATAGTGTAGTGTATAGTAGTGTATAGTGTAGTATATAGTAGTGTAGTGTACAGTAGTGTAGTGTAAAGTGTAGTCTATAGTAGTGTATAGTGTAGTGTATAGTAGTGCAGTGTATAGTGTATAGTAGTGTAGTGTATAGTGTAGTCTATTGTAGTGTAGTGTATAGTGTAGTGTATAGTAGTGTAGCGTATAGTGTACTCTATAGTAGTCTATAGTAGTGTAGTGTATAGTGTAGTGTATAGTAGTGTAGTGTATAGTAGTGTAGTGTATAGTGTGGTGTATAGTAGTGTAGTGTATAGTGTAGTCTATAGTGTAGTCTATAGTAGTGTATAGTGTAGTGTAGAGTAGTGTATAGTGTAGTGTATAGTAGTGTAGCGTATAGTAGTGTAACGTCTCCATAGAGCCCAATGTGTAGTGTATAGTGTAGTCTATAGTAGTGTAGTGTATAGTAGTGTAGTGTATAGTAGTGTAGTGTATAGTAGTGTAGTGTATAGTGTAGTCTATAGTGTAGTCTATAGTAGTGTATAGTGTAGTGTAGAGTAGTGTATAGTGTAGTGTATAGTAGTGTAGCGTATAGTAGTGTAGCGTCTCCATAGAGCCCAATGTGTAGTGTAGTCTTTAGTAGTGTAGTGTATAGTAGTGCAGTGTATAGTGTAGTGTATAGTAGTGTAGTGTAAAGTGTAGTCTATAGTAGTGTATAATGTAGTGCATAGTAGTGGAGTGTATAGTGGAGTGTATAGTAGTGGAGTGTATAGTGTAGTCTATTGTAGTGTAGTGTATAGTAGTGTAGTGTATAGTGTAGTCTATAGTAGTCTATAGTAGTGTAGTGTATAGTGTAGTGTATAGTAGTGTAGTGTATAATGTAGTCTGTAGTAGTGTATAGTGTAGTGTATAGTAGTGTAGTGTATAGTGTATTCTATAGTAGTGGAGTGTACAGTAGTGTAGCGTCTCCATAGAGCCAAATGTGTTTGCTTACCGACCATTCCCCTGTTAACGACGGGTCGTAGGTAAAATAAATATTAATGAATGCATTGTAAAACAATGTGTTTTTTATGTTATGTGTTTATAATGTTGTTAATATCGTTATGTATTAATATCAATTGCTAAAATATTATAAAGTACGTTCTTTTTTGGGTGAAAAAGAGTAACTTTCGATGCTCTCGGAACGAATTAAGCCTCTATAACGTGTACAACCAATACTCGCTTAACGACCAACTCACTTAACGACCGGTTCCGTGCAACCAATCACCGCCCTGAACAGGGATTCGACTGCGCGCTTGTGCTGCAACGTATTTTGCGAAACTGTCACACGTCTGAAGCTGCCCAACGGGACCATTGTCAAATTCCACGGCGAACGATTTTGTCGTCGATTTTTTTTGTGCCGCTGCATCGTCGGCGGCCCCCTTTATCAATTTGACCGCTCTAAGTCGTTTCCTCCAAACGTACGGAGCTGAACGCATGAACGTTTTCAACTTTAGTGGGAATGCGCTAATCGGTCATATTCTTAAGTTCACGTGTGCTCCCGAAACTCCATCGGTACTTGGGCATTTGTTTAATACTCACGTGAGACGTGACATCGAGTAAATAGTAAATTAATGACGACGATAACGATGACGGTGGATACCGGACAGCTGTGAAAAAAAAGAGCTTCACAGCTCATCGGATTTCTCCAGGGCAAATCAAGATAAATATATCCGATTAAATAAAAAAATCGTTTGAAGGGTTAACCTCGCTCGACTTGAGGATGCCGAAGAGAGGGAAGAGGAATCCTGGCACCATGGCCGCAGCCCCAAGGGGAACGGCCTCCGAGATCCAGTAGACGGCCGTCACGATGAGGGTGTAGCCACACTGGGCCACCTGAAGGCAGACGCAGCAAAAGAAGGACCACGGCTCTCATTTGCCACCAACTCTTGGCGGTGAGCATCACCACGGCGCCTGTGCCAGGCCACGTGCACTTTGAAGCTCGGGCGATAGTAAGCACGGGGGCACCAGCCACACCCTTCAACTTGGCAAGGGTTATATCCTTAGCTCTTTCGGTAAAGTCACGTTGAAGGGAAACAATAAAATAATAAAACATATATAAAACAATAAAAATTCTCACGACGTTTCGACCATAACACAAACGGTCATCATCAGGTGTGAAAAACCAACGGCAAGAAATATTTGAATTCATTTCATTTTTTTTTAAAACGTTAGCACCACAGGCAGCGATTTGGCAGTTCTAACATTTTCATGGAGAAATTTGAGACTGACGCCATCCAGACTGCCACTCTGCGCCCAACCTTATGGAAGAGGTACGTGGATGACACTTTTGTCATCTGGCCACATGGCCGGCCTGCTCTAGACCAATTCTTCGACCACATCAATTCCATACACCCAGCCATCAGATTTACCATGGAAGTCGAAAAAGATGGGAAGCTACCTTTTTTGGATGTCCTAATAAAAAAGAGACCTGATGGTTCAATCTGAAACCGGTTTGCCACCACCATCCATCACAAAAGAATTCTCTCATCAAGACTCTGTACCATAGAGCCCAATGCATATCCGACCAGGAACACATTGGCAGTGAACTCAAGCACGTACACCAAGCTCTTAAGGCTAATGGTTACTCCGACTATACAATCCGCAACGCTATCACTCAAACCATGAAGGACCCTCTTTAGGAGCCTTTCAAAACCATCACTTTACCCTACATTGCGGGGATCACAAAAAAGATCTCCAAAATCTTGAATAAACACAAGATCCAGGTCCGTTTCAACACATTACATAAAATCCGTGATCTGGTTCCGTCTGTAAAAGATGTGATTCCGGATATACAGTACCCTGGTGTCTACAAACTAAGTTGCCTCTATGGTAGTAGTTACATTGGAGAAACCAAACGCCATGTCTCGGACCGCATTCGTGAACACAAAGCAGACCTTAAACACGGTAGGCCCAACACCTCGGCCGTGGCAGATCATTGTTATAATTCAGTAGGCTCACATGACATTGACTTCTCCAAGACAGAGGTTCTTTGTAAGCCATCTGGCTACCATGAGAGATTCGTTCATGAGGCTATCCACATATACAATCACAGAGACAATTTCAACCGATAAGATGGATTCTGGCTTAGCAATCATTGGAAGGATTTGATAAACCATTTCAGGTCTTAATTGATTGTTCACGCTTTTACGGTGGCTTTCAGACAGCATACATACATTTTTCGTCTCCCCCCTCCTCTTTTCAGAACATAGATGGACTCGTCCTTCTAAATAAACTGCCAAATTGCTGCCCGTGGTGCAAACGTTTTTTTTTAAATAAATACAAACACCGTTTAAAAATAAATAAATGCGAACTGACACTTCTTTCAAATGTTTCTTGCCGTTGGTTTTTCACACCTGATGATGACCGTTTGTGTTATGGTCGAAACGTCGTGGGAATTTTTATTGTTTTATATATATTTTCTTATTTTATTATTTCCCTTCTACGTGACTTTACCGAAAAAAACAAGAATATGTTCTCCCCCTGTTTGTGTGGAATTTTTCTCCGGGTCCTCCGGGGTTTTAGGAATGAGCGAATGCACGCCAGATTAATAATTCATGGTTCAGTGCGAAAGGGTCAGATTTGTGAGCGTCTACAGAGATGGCCGTCACATACTCTTTGGTTCTATTCGGTAAAGTCACATAGGTAAAAAATAAAATAACTAAAATCACGTTTCGGCCACAACACAAATGGCCTTCATCAGGTGAAGGGACCGTGCTGTCATGAGGACAGCACGGTCCCTTCACCTGATGAAGGCCACTTGTGTTGTGGCCGAAACGTCGTGATTTTTGTTATTTAATTTTTTTACCTACGTGACTTTACCGAATAGAACCAAAGAGTATGGATCCTTGCAGTCACGAAAGCTTCAAATCTAGAATGACCGTTACACCTGGCGCCTATACTGCACTGGGCGTCCGTGCTTTTATTGGTCAGGGCAGCTTTGTGACGATCGCTTTTGCGACGTTTTACTGAACCAGATAGATAATACTACTCCTCATTATACTACTTGCATGATAAAGATCATTATTACAATAATGCATTGGAATTGTGCAGCATTGTTTAATAACTATACGATAAACACAACACATTGCCATTCTGAGTGATCGACTATATTTTACGATTACGTACTTTGCAGTCTAATATAAAACTATCTTTACGAGCACCTACAACTGCTTTTGACGAAAGTGCATCATGGGCTAAAACTAAACTATTTTTGGTTATTCTCCAGACTACAAATGATCCCAACAACCATATCCTTGTGCAATAATACTGATAAAGGAACAATAATAGTCCGCAAACCCTCCGAATCAGCACCCTTTGCTAAATGTAGCTATATATGCTGATAGCAAATTATATTGCATACTATTCTTAAACGTTTCATTTTACCAGGTAAAGCCCACTGAGCTATATAGCTCTTTTTTCAGAAGCGACCTGGCCACGAATCATAATTCAATGAAGTGGCTTGTCACGTGGAAATGTAATGCAGCCAAATAATCTAAAGGCATGTTCCTAAATGTGGAGGGAAAAACCGGAGGACCCGGAGAAAAATCCATGCGACCACAGGGAGAACACGCAAAGTCCAAATATACAGGGGTCAGGATCGGGATCGAACCCACGTGGTCGTGTGTCCGAGGCGAGGTAGTTCACATATCGCCACCGTGGCGCCTAAGTGAGAACAGAGAGAGCCTCTGGATTGCTGAAGTTTCTACGCTTATTTAACCTAAGAGGAGCATTTAATGGTCAGAGGTAATTTTACTTTCAGCACAAGTAGGTATTGCATGGACAATGATTGCATTAATAGCCCAGAGGAATGTCCCAAATGTACTGGTACAATGAAGGCAGACTGTTTCCCTTCTACTTGAATGCAGTGACCAATCCGATTTGTGTTTGGTCACAAGAGGCCTCACTGTGCCTGCCTTATGAACGATAGCATCTGAGTTGTGGGGCTCTTCTCAAGATGACTGAAATCTTATACATGGCTTCGCAGCATTCATGAGTTTTGAATGATCAGGGACGGTATTATCAGATTGTTGTACTTGCCGATGCACTGTATATATATAAAAAAAATGTATGTGCTGTGAAGGACCGTTGCCTGAAACATCGCCAAAAAGTTTTCCCTGGTAAGGCAGCGTTATTGACGAACCCGATCAGCGTTGTTATTTGTGCTTTGTACCACTCCCAAAGCAGCATCACCAATGCATTTGTTTGGTTTGTATAATGTATCTCAGCATTGAACGAACCACGGTCACTGTGTGTGTGTGGACTCTTTTACAATGCGTGGGGAGGATGAGCGTGCTTTTAGCCAAATGAAATGTAATTAAAAGTAGAAACAATCGCACGCGTGGCTTTATTAAAGTAATCCCGAGCATAATTCGACTTATTTTGTCGTTCGTTATATTTTGATCAAAGTACATCCTAATAACATCTTGGCCACGCTCGGAGACAGGAATGGAACCGTGGTAGAGTCTGAATGATGCAATGACCTCATCTTAGGACACGAGCAACTTAGACATTTTTTTTTATTCATAACTCTTATGAAATGTTAATTCTTGAAAAATACAAAAGGTGGTCAAATGACCACATAGAAATACCCCATATAAATACCCCATATTTGTTTCTTCGTTTTGTACCTTTTGCATAAAATCCAGTTAAAAAAATGCGTAAAGCGCTATACAAGTCAAAATACGATTTTAGCATTTCATTCTAAAAATGTATTCACCGCCTATTCAGAGTTGTGCAAAAATAATAGTAAATAATGCTATATTTTTTCCGTTTATACTTTTAAACGTCAAGACTGTGTGCATGAAGTTGCATAACCGTACACTTAGAACGAAATTGTAAACATAAAAAAAATCTATTTTAAACGGTGGCATAAAAACAGTTCGAATGCAAAACAATTCAAACATAGAAAATTACAGACTTTTCCAAGGGACTTAAACCAGTTGCACCTACCGGTGTTTTGATGGCAAGTGGAAGAGGCAGAAGGAGCAGAGGCGTCAAGACGACGATGAGGAATTTGCGGTACCTCCAAAAGGCACGAAGACAACCCATGGCAGAAGACGTCCGGTTTGTCACTGTGATCTCTCAATACGCCTGCTCAAAGACACCAAGTGTCACTTGAAGGTATGGGACCAGCACGGGCACTCACCGCCGGCTTTATACCAAGATTTGGGGTTAATGAGTAAGCCTAGACCTCCGCCCTGAGTTGAATGAGCGTCCAATGTTCCATCCTTGCAGAACCGTAACAGGACGTTGACCCCACTACGAGACGCGGCACCTGAAGATGAATTTACAAAACTGCTAAAGTAAATGAATGCATTTTTCAATCTCTGCATGTTGATCATATTAATAGAATTATTTTCAAACGTGAATGTCTCTCTTGAAATGTATTTTGTTCTACCGCAAGCGTTTGGTACTATACTCTTTGGTTCTTTCGGTAAACTCACGTAGGTATAAAATATATATTTTTTCATTTTTCCACCTGAGGACGACGACTTGTGTTGTGATCTAAACGTCGTGATTTATTTTATTTTATACCCACGTGACTTTACCGAAAGAACCAAAGAGTATGGATTCCTGCAATCACGAAAGCTTCAAATCAAGAATGTTTGGTACTATGTCCAACGTTTTCATCCAGCACGCTTCCAGCACGTGGAGTGAAACGTCAGACATCATGCCAATCGTTACGCAGTACAGGACAACTGTGACAACCTTAGTACAGTAGTATGTGAATATTTAACATTTTAAAAGATTATTTTTGTATCCAATAAACTTTGAAACAAGAGTATTATTTTTGTAGATGTTTTATTCCATTAACTACAATACACTCCATGTTACCTAACAAAACCAATAAAATTTGTAAAATCGAATAATTACAATGCCCATGCACCTGTAATATTGAATCAAGTGCCCATGAAATGTATAATCCAGAGTTCCATGTCAACATATGGGAGACATATACCCTATTTTTAACATCAGTTGATAATTAATGTGGAGTTTTGAAGCAATCGGTGTTAATTTGGAGGCGAGGCCGGCTCTAACGACCCACTGTAAAAAATTTGAGTAAATTATGATGGCACGTTGACACATCACCGGGTTATAAAACAGCGCGCAACTTCATGTACCACTCCCCCATGAAGTTTATAAACTGGAGGCATTGCTACCACGAAGTCACAGAGGCAGCACAATCACCCAAAGACTCTCCAAAAAACATCGACCCCTTACGTAATGAGTAGTTTATTACGTCTTTAAATGTCAACGACCCCATACACCTTTCAGGATTTAAATCATTATATTATATGCTAACATGACCAACGTGGAATTTCTGTTAAAAGCAGTTGGAAAAATCTTGCAGACAGGAATTGAGGAGACAGATGTGTGCATGTTTGGCAAATACTAATACGGATTACTTCGTCGCATAATAGGCGTCATCACCTCATTGGACATACTTTTCACCTTTGCATCCGTATGTCTTGAAGCTCTTATCAGTTTTGCTGTAAATGGATACGTTACCAGTAGCCAGTGATTTAACTGACTTTTGTTATGTTATATAGTGGATAACGTTATTGGACGTAAAAGTCTATGTAATTTTACCATGAAATATTAGTTGAACATTATATGCGTTTCAGTAGATGCAAAATGCGCAACATTGCCAAATGGCATTACAACCTACAACTCTGCAGTGAAACGTTGATATGATATACAAATCAATCTGACATCTCAACAATAATCGTAATGCTGCCGAACAAATAAAAAACAAGTGACGTACAATTATCTTCAATGAATATGAAAAGGAACATTTTATATTTTCTGTTAATAATAGGTATTGGTACAACTTTTGTGAAACATGCCTTGTACGAAACACTATGCACAAGTAGCATGGGAATTTACAAGTTTACCTACTCTATATTTTAATTAGAAGACTTGGCAGATATACTACCAATACATGTAAACCCTTGAGCAATCAGTGCTAAAAAGTCTCATAAAAAAAATTCCATTGATTGAAAATTCCCAGAATTATTAAAAATGCCACTATGATTAAAAATCCTCCAGTACGATTAAAACCGTGTTTATAGTTGCGTCTCTACCATGTTTCTGGTCAACAAAAAAAATGAAACGAATATTTGTTTACGTGAATGTTGCATATTTTTAGTTCAGAGATTAACTTAAACATTGATATTCAAACGGATATCTCTACAAGGTAAAAATGGGTAAAGGCGCAGCCCTGCAATTTCTTGCTCACACCAATGCTGGTGGAAGGGCCTCCACTAGAGGGAGCTTTAGAAAGCACCTCGAGAGGGCATTTTCACAACGCTTCCACACGTGCCAGACGTCTTGGAAGAGGTGGGAGTACCGACACGTCACCCCATCACGAAACCTGTCGACTGACTGTGGTGTATCTATACTACTGGGTGGACAGATGTGGGGGGTGGGATTTAAAAAAAACTTGCACAATTATTTCAACTGCTGTGCTGGGAGATCGAAATGATGATGTCCGATAGCAAATGCAGTGCTACAAATTATGAGTGGCTGGCATTCTATGGAATAAGAAATACTTGTTGGCAGCGATGCATAAGCGCATCAATAACATTGCTCTAAAGGGGAAAAACCGTGACGTTTATGGTAATTGCCATTGTCTCTGCTATTCAGAGCCCAATACTTATATAATGAAATGCTTTTTTTCCTTTAATAATTTTATTGAGGAATGCGAAGTTTTTGTATTTTTTAAGATATGTCCTCTAAAATGATGACATAATTCAATAACTCAACCTTGTCATATGAAAAAAAAAGTAAGTACTTCTCATATGCCTTTAGAAAGCTATGATGGACATGTTAGCTCTTTGCAATAACTTTGGATTTCATATTCTTTGGGTCTTTCGGTAAAGTCACGTAGATAGGTTCAAAGAAAATAAAAACAATTTTCTTTGAACCTATCTACGTGACTTTGCCGAAAGACCCAAAGAATATGAATTCCTGCAGTCACGAAAGATTTAAGTCAAGATTTAACTTTGGATTTCTATTCATATCTAACGGGTAGTGTTATTGCATGCCTATTATATTTAGGTCTTTGGGTAAAGTCACGTAGAACAAAACAATTAACAAAAAACTACGTTTCGATCGCAACACAAGCAATCGTCATCAGGATTGCTTGTGTTGCGATCGAAACGTAGTTTTTTGTTATTTTCTTTGTTCGACGTGACTTTACCGAAAGACCCAAAGAATATGAATTCCTGCAGTCACGAAAGCTTCAAGATTGTATGCCTATTGTCGTTATATTTAATCACATCCAAATATCTTGGTATTTTAAAATGATTGAGTAATACATTACGTAAAGTTCTAAAGTCTTTAATTAATATTTTTCCAATATCGTATGTTTATCCGCCAGCAGTTGGCTTTAAAGGGTGGGTGGCCACTAAGGGCCCATGCTGTTTTAGCGCCACCTGCTGCGGAACTCATCTTTCACTTATCAACTGGCAGCTCCAAGAACATGCCTGCTTGGATTAACACGACACATTGATATTTCGTTTGAAATTACTTTCTTCATATTGCTGTTCAGGTAAAAATTATTATGCATGGGTCATTATTCACTTGCTTTTCAATTTAATTATAATTTCATGTTAACAGTATTTTAGTTCGTGCTTGCAATATTACATACCAAATCAATGCATCTATGCAAACCCTAATATGTATAATATATGTACCTAATTTAAGTTAGCAGTCTTGTGTATTATCCCATACACATATTGAATGCATTTTTAGTCCTCTTACATTGATCTTTTAGTGATCTTCCACGAGGACATCGGACTAAACACACAGTGGTGCTTCTAATTGACTCGCGTGCACGCACGTGGGCACGACACATTTGTGCAAATGTAAATATCGTCATCGGCCAGTGCTGCATTGGCTCATTTTACACAATATTCTAGGTTTTGGATGCATGCTCTCCTGCCACGCAGATAAAATTCGGTTTCATCCCAAGAAACATTTAGTTTGAACACATTACAATGCCAAAACACTAAAAATACAGCACTTTTTTTAAAGCAACGTACTGTCAAGAGGCTTTTATGTCATAAATTACTTTAAACTGTCTCTGTGATAGATGCAAAATAATACTGGAGTCCATTTAAACACGAGTGCACATTATTACCGCTTTGATATTGAAAATAATTTCGCAGTCACTTAAAATATGTATTTAAGTTCTGAAGAATCAAGGTAAAACGGTTGTACCTTATTGTTGATGAGCTCCAGGCAGACAATGTTCTGGTGAGAACACCTTGCCGATGAAATGTTTAATTTTAAGGACAAAAGTAAACCTGTGTTGCCACGACAACTTGATCAAGATGGGTGCTTTTACCAGACCCCCTCACAGCTGCCACTTAGCTTACTTATCCACGTGAAGTGGCTGAATGATTTGTAATGAGTCATTTTCTTCACGTAAAAAAATACCCCAGCATTGAACACATAAAAGTCATAGCACAGAGCATAAACCTATTTGTCTCCACCGAATTTAAATTTAGGCACGATAACATGCTTAGTGTTTGTTGCGCAACATACACAAACGCGGTGGTCAAAGCTACTGGCTTAAGACAGATTACCTCAATTGTTTGGTCAGGTTACAATGTTCCATCTCAAATGGGATTACATATATATTTTTTCATATTTCATGAAAACGGGACGTTTAATAATGTATTTTATTCATTGTTTCTTAAATAAAAACATCAACACTAAACACTACAAACCTTGTTGATAAAAAAAACTTCCAGTGAAAAATGTTAATTTTGTACATAGCAAAGAACGTCAACTTTTAACACAGATCACAGATAAGCACACAGCAACATGAAACAATTTAAAATAAAATAATTTGTATGCATAAATACATCAACTATTAAACGTTAATCATTCAGCAAATCAGATAATATGTATTAGTGTTGTAAAAATGTCTCTCGATTCATTGCTTAGGTATTTGAGAGCCTGACATTGCTAAATATTTTTTTTATGTAAGTGGTGGACCCAGCTGAAGTGGGTACATCCACAAACTCCACTTTGGTGGAATGAAATGGCAAACATCACGCCAAGAATGGCACAGTTCAAAGTGGTCCATTGGCTAAAAACATTTTTTTTAAGGCTACAACATTCCTCAGCTGAGTGGCCGGTTTTAGTGTGAAGCAGACTGGGGCCTTGATACTGAGCAACTATTTATTCAAGCCACAAATTAAGGTTTTAGAACAGCAACTAGAATGTTTGTTGTTACAAAATAACCATTACAAATAATACCACACAAGTCACTCACTTTCTTAAATTTAGTCCCTTTAGATGCCCGTTGTCTATAAAAAAAAATCCATGCCAATTACTTATAGTATGAAGCTTACATATGGTTGTAACATTAATTACAGTTAAAAAAACTAATATTCTACAACACTCTTTTATAAATACGATGTCTTTGTAACAAATATCCCCAACCTTCAGTGTTACACGGTATCTTTGACACACCAGTTGTCAACGTGATGGTATATTCTTGTAAATGCCTTCCTTTCATGTTTTAATAGTGAATTAAGTAAACAAATCTACATAATGGATTTAGAATGTGTTCCCACATATAGCTTGTTTACACATACAATCCAGGTCCACACCACTGTTTCCGCAGTTATAGATCATTCCAGTACACTGTCCAGGTCACAGACTGCAAGTGATTGTGGGCTTGCATATAATCGTCCAAGATGACCCTTGAATGCTCTGCAACAAATACGCGCACGCACACACACACACACAATCGGTCCTGTTGTGCGGTGGCTTGGCACATAGCAAACGTACAGCATGTTTTGAGATTAATCTGGCATGGGTTTCTTTCACATCACAAGGGACGTATTAACTCCACTTTGGCGACGAAAAATTAGGAGGCACACATTTCACACGAATACAAAGTGAGCATGGATATTTGTCGCCACCTAAAAAACTGCTTCCAATGTAATTATTTTTCGATTTAAAGCTTTCGTAACTGCAAGGATTCATCTTCTTTGGTTCTTTCGGTAAAGTCACGTAGAATGAGAATAAAATAATAAATTGTCTGGTAGGACAGCGCTGTCCTACCAGACAGTCTCGTCCCTTCACCTGATGAAGGCCACTTGTGTTGTGGCCGAAACGTCGTGAGAATATTATTGTGTTATTTTATTTTATCAATTTATTATTTTATTCTCATTCTACGTGACTTTACCGAAAAAAAACAAAGAAAATGTAATTATTGTAAAAATGTCTGTACAGCTGCATCTAATCAGCATTGGCAAAAACCGAACCAATCAATGGAATACTAAATAACATGCATCACACAGTTGTGTCGTTCTACATACTGCAGTGGTATATTTATTATGATAGGCTGCGGAATATGTACATTTACTGCATCAGCACTGGCCTTGAGCGATAAATGAAGTGCCGGCTGTCTTGAAAGTGCCTACCAGTCTGATTATAATAGCAGGGATTTACTATTTAACTACCTCTACAAGCCACACCTGGAGAGAATAATTTCCAATTCTCCAAACAGATCACGAAGCCACAACACTCTAGAGGTTCGGAGCACAGAGGGGAGAAGCGACATTTGAACATCAATTCATGACATATGCTGTGTGGGTCTGCGTATTACTGTATTCATTGCACAAAGCATATTTATCTGAGTATAGCTGAAAGGCTTGGTGAATCAATTAAATGCCAGTGTGCTTTTAAAAAGGCTACAATACACACCACCATGATTAGTATAGCTGTACAGGTATGTGATCCACGTTGTAGTGATGCATTTAATTGAATTTGGGGATTATGCAGAGCCGAGTATTCCATTATAATCAAACTATGTGGTAGAAGTATGCAAACCTTGAAGCAGAATAGACAACTATTCGCTGAAATTAATTAACGTAGAAATGTTACAATTCACCATGAAGAATGATACAGAAAATATCTGTCATTATTACAAGGCCAGAGGGTTTTACTCGAAAAACTTCTGAACGAGAATAGGTCCATAAATCAGGACCCGAAATGGTTTAAATTCAGCACTCGTATGACAACACAGTAGAGTATGAATAAGTCAAAAGGGTTTAACCTGGATTCAAACAAATTGATTTGATTGACTGATAACCTTAGCCATTGTTGCATTTCCCCCTACAACCTGCATGGATGCCACCTTAACAGCATCGATCTACAGCCCTTAACAATCCACTGCTGGATGAAGGCCTCCCCAAGCCATGTCTGTCATGTGGGTTAATTGACCATACCTTACCATGCTGGTCAATGAGAGTTGGTAAAGGGGTGTCCAGAACAGGTTCAAGTGTCACTCACCACTGATGTTAGCGATGTCTGGGAATTGAACTCAGGTGGCCGAGTTCAGTGCTATGCGCTTACCAGTGTGCCACCACTCTAACCACCCCCGTTAAATGCATTCTGACCTGTCATGAGAGGACATTCGTGGAAGTGCAGGTATTTAATTTGTGGGCAGGACTTGAGTACAGCCTCCACTGCCTTGTCTGTCAGACTAGGGCAGTGGTCCATGTGCACCTCCTAGAGGCAGAGGCACATGCAGCGATGCATAGCGCACTCTGCTCCACACCGAACACAAACAAATCCCCAGCAGCTAAAAAAATATTTAACAAAAAACATGTCCACTCCTCGGGAGTAAAAAAGAGGCTTTGTAAAAAAACAAGAAGAAAAAACCCGACAACACATTTTAAATAAAAAATATTGGGATGCTCATTTCTACTCAGAACATGACTGACATTTTGTAAAAGTAGATTTTAATTTAGCAGATTCTGCTCATTGATCTGAAGGCAACCATAATCTATAAGACATCAGCATCGTATTTTATTTAAAAAAAAATATTCCAAAAACAAGACAATAAAAAGTCAAAACATTGTTTGCATGCATAAGAAAACACTGCACATTAAAGTGTAAGAAATGTGTCTATATTAATGCATCTGATGATTACAGCTTGATTATAAAAACAAATACTCTATTGTATGTTCATGTACCACACACATTGTTATAATGATCACAACTGTGACTACTATTATCACATCACAGCTACTATTCCCAGGTGGAATAACCTAATTATACAATGACTAAAAGCCATTGTTAATGCAGGGCTGGGTGGAAAATAAAACATGCTATTTAGGATTAAAAAAAAGCTAATTTCAATTGCAGAATGAATCACACAATGATCAAATTTGGTTGATGGAAAAAAAAAGACATTATGTACTAAATTGAAGTGTGATGATACAGCATCAGGTGATGTGAAACTAAACTGAGCTATTTATTAAAGTGCATCACACAGTGGTACACGGGATTAGAAATAACATCTTAATTGAATTCCACTTTTGAAAATGAAACCCATGTTTGCTATACATTTCGGGATATGTAGCAGTCTTTTTAACAAATAGGTGTACTTGCAGAAATGTGCCTCTGCAGTTTCGGTTGCTGCTGTTGCAGCAGAATTTGGGAACATGCTGCCCACTGGCTCAAACCATAGCACCCTGTGCATATTGAGTGCACTATGGACAATCCGTCACATTCTAGCTGTGTCAGTCTAATGGACGAATGGCCATTAAGAGTTGGAAGCCCACTGCGAGACCATATTTATTTAAATTCAACAGATACTTTTGCTGCCGAGACACCCAGATGATGTATGTGCGGTAAAAAGAAGAGTATGCAATGCAGACAGCAAGTTACACATTCCTACAAGACAGAGTAGTGAGCGAGCTTAAGAAAACATTCACTAAAGAATTTAGCTCCAACGAATGTGCCTGCGCTAGTTTTAATCCAAATAATAAATACATAATCCAGCCGTACTCAATCCACCAAAGGGTCATGGCGATTTTACCATACTTGACCACGCTGGTTAGTGTGGCTTCATAAAAGGAGGGAAGGGCAGCATTAATTCTGATATCGTTTGCCAATTATGTACGTATGTTGAACTTCTTTCACACCACGTGTAGCCCAACGGTGCTAATCATGTTAGCCATTTTCGAGAATAGAACTCGAGTCGCCAGGTTTATACCGTTGCCCACTAACCACTGTGCTACCACTCCACTCCTTGCACGAAAAAGGCTAATATTATTTAACAGCAAATCGTGGCTTGGCTCCATGTAACTGCAACGTTCCTGGGCATTAGGTTGGCAGTGTATAATGTGGGAAAGTTTGAGCATGTGCACATTGCAAAAAGCAGAAGACCAATTGTTCCACAGTTTTCTAAGCCTTGGTATATTTTTGCTTATAATCTTCAGCAAAGATTCATGACCAATTTCATGGCACGTATTATGCATAAGTAGCTCACCTCCAAGGATTTGGAACATGCCCCATTCACCAGCGCAATCACACCTTCATCTGTCACCTGTCCCGAAACATGAACATCATGTATTCACTTAGCAGCAATAAACAGCACACAAGCTGTGAAAAATCTAATCACACACGTTCATCCCCACAAGGTCGCAAAACACATTTTTTGATGACATGCACCAAAAATATGTAAAATTTATTCAAATGTTGTTGAACACGACAATGATGTTTTAAAATAAATTAATTTATATGAAATCCACTGCCCTGAGCTCCTAAATATTAAAATGTATTTTCATTGACTACAAAATTATGTATTCACATTTCAAAGACTATAGCAACCATGTCGATTAAGGATATTAAATTGACAGATCAAATGCAAAATTACACAAATACAATAATATTTAATGTATATATCCCACATATATGTACTATTAATAACGAGCTATCATATCTTTGTGGGTCAACTAACAAGGCGAATGACGTCACAAAATTAGCAACAGCATGTTCCAGAACACGTCTCAAAGGGGATAAATTATAACTTTGGGAGAGTGGAGGGACGTGGCATGTGCTAAGCCGCCCTGTTTGATAAGTGCTACAATTTAGATGTGAAAGGTGTTGTCACCCTGATGTGTTTTGGCCAGTTTTCAGTTTTCAGTTTTCCTGTCTAACTGATGGATGAGTCAATGTTCAGCCAAAGTCATGGCCAGGGTCAACAATTCTGAAAAAAGTCTAACATTAGCCAAAACCAAAGGCCACTCAGAAGTTCAATTATGTGGGAATTCAATAAACGTTGGTAAAGTAAGATATCAAATGCAGAGCCCAAGGACAATTTGAGTGTTGAAATTAAGTTAAAGAAAAACATGAACATATTATTTTAGAGGTTTCAGAGGGTCTGCCTTTGTGCCATTTGCTATACTGTTAAGCAAATATTCACGTACAAGAGCTCATGGGTGAAGTCTGCAGATATATGAACAATTTAAACTGGTTAAATTAGCCGCTTCATCCCTACACAGAGATGGGAAATCTATCCAAGGGTGCAAAAAATGAGATGGAAATGAATGGACAACCAACTGGCATTTATAACTCTACTGCCAACAAAGTGTCAGTGTCATTTTGGAACACCATAAATCATCTTCCGGTGTAGGTACTTGTGTGTCCTGGCAATCAGCCTTAAAAATATGCATAGACCACATATGCAATGCCAAAAACATTAGTTTTTTTAATAGTCAACCACTGCAGAAGTACCCCATTCAATTCCCGATGAAGGCAAGGATAACTGTCAGAATGATTAATATCACATTTTTCTGGCCTACACTAGGTATAGTATTGGATTAGATGTGGTAAAGTGTGAATAGTATGAGCCAAATATGTAGAAAATAGAAAATGCATTAATGAAGTAGCAGTCTTCCTGCTGTGCTTGTTTCACACCTGATGACGGTTGCTTGTGTTGCAATCGAAACGTCGCGATCTATTATTTTTTCGACCTACGTGACTTTACCGAAAGAACCAAAGAGTATGGATTCCTGCAGTCACGAAAGCTTCAAATCAAGATTGAAGTAAAACTGGTTGCTCTGTTCAAAAACTGGATTTAGGTTTAAATAAAATAATTCAACAAACAGTACAACTTAAAATAATTTAGCTTATTTATAAAGTGCATGTACAAAACTTTGCCTGTAAATGACGTTAGTGCATTCCGTATACAGACAACAAAGAAATGGATTATCTAGCATATGTAAAGGCAGATCTATACCTTGTGTGTCAATTTACTTGCGTCTTATCAAAGCTGGGACGGAGCAGATAAGCACGCTGCTTAAACAGGTTTAGTGGAAAAAAACGCGTCCTTGGTATAAAGGCAAACATTTATTTGCTTTACAGTTACCTTGTTTGTGCAAATCAGATAGTAAACACAATACATCTTATTACGCATGCATTGCATCATGTCATAGATCTGCACATTCTTATTATCTGAACCGACGGAAATACTGCCACAAACCCTATATATTTATGGAACAAACTTTTGTTCAGATTTCGAACACATATATATAAAAAAAAGACATCGCATTGTTTTAGCACGCTCAGAAAGCGTCAACATGCCCGTGCATGTGACGCAAACGTCATACCTGCGTTTTAGCAAAGTTAATGAACTGCAAGGATGAGGAGGCACGTCCCAAGGCGTGAAGAGAGGCATCGCCCAGACGATGGCATCCTCTCAAGTTTAGGATCCATAGCTGTGGGCAGGATGCAGCCAGCTTTATTATTGCCCGGTCGGTGAGCTCTGTGCACTGCGACAATTGCACGTCCCGCAGCAATGGGCAGCACGCTGCTAATATCTCCACTCCTGCACGTGCACGCACAAGTACATACACAATTGCTGAGAAAAGCAGGCGCAATCCCATGCACGCAACTTTATTCATTGTCATTTACCATTTGGAGCAACAAACTCAAATCTAGGGTTTTCAGTTTCAGTAACACATGCAAGTGGTTAAATGGTAATTAGAAAGGTGTACTATAATAATTTGGAATGTAATAAAGCACCAATTTGTTAATTAAAATTGAATTATATGATCATAATAAACACATACAATTGTGCGCATTAGAATGTAACATTTGCATTGTATGCACATTGAATACCAATAATATGTTACTGTTAAATTTAGGCTACTGAAACAAATAATACCGTACAAACAATAAACTTAATTAATGAAATGGTAAAAATGTGGCAAAAATATATATTTTAAACATGCACATCTATTGTGGTGGATGTAGCACTTCCTAAGGCTGTAAGGATTATGAAAATCATTACATACAACATATTCGAATTGAAAATCATGCATTCTTGCACATGATTCGATATGTCTCCTAAATTAAAGAAAACATTTTAAATGTACCATCAACGCATGATTACATGCCTAATAATAAGAATTAGCATCATAATATTAATACTTTCTATATGGGCCACTATCTTCGCTCTATAATATCAACGCTGAGCTGTTTGCTGCGCAAACATATCATTTATCCGTTTAACAGAATAAACTGATGGAGGAACTGTCACCATGTCCAATTACAGCACCTGAATCGTGAGAACACAAGCCACTCCTGGGATTGAAACATTCCAAATGGTCCAAAGTCGACCACCAGATCAGTACAGACCCAACCATGAATAATATGTAAATGCAATTTGAACAGCAATGTAACCATTCGTACATTAAAACTATATATATATGAAGCTTAATTTGAGGTAAAGTCAAAGCAGCACACATTTATATGCACAAGCACCTGTTGGAAGGCATTCCTCTAATGTTATACCACATTCAGTGGTGACAACATGAAAAAAGAAATAATGCAGGGCTTTACTGAAATTGGCCATGCTGTTGGAGAGGTTTGCGGATGGGTCAAGCACTCAACATGAAACTGTTATTTTGGGACCACTTGAGGCATAACAAACAGCATTTCCAAACAGAATTACTTGTTTGAAGTACATTTTAAATATTGTAAATGGAGGCCCTTCAAGCGCCTCCAATCAATTTCAACACTGGCTTCCCACCACTATTTCCTTCAAATTGCATTACATTAACCTTAGCTGCAGCCTGAATCTTTGCTTTTTCCTCTTTAGCCTGGTGGGTTAATCAGCTTTTTCTCAGACCCGTGTATGTAGTGTGTGTTGATGTACATTTATTTGTAGAATAGTTAAAATTGCTGTTTATTCGGACGGCCGATATTTCTATTCACAAATGCTTTATCAAGGAAATGCACATTCGTGTGTGGACTCCACAAATAGTTTTTTTGGGATCATATTTGAATGTTACCTTTTACAAAAAATACGAAAATAAATATTTACAGCCTGTCTGTTATTCATCCACTGCTGGATGAGGGGCCCCAAAGCCTTGTAGGCCATTCGGCCATGATAGATGTGACGAACTACACTTAACCACGCTGGTCAGTGTGAGCAGTGAATGTGGGGTGAATGCAGAAAAATAGATTTTCTGCACTGCCCCCTATTGCCCAAAATGCCTACTGCAGCTGTCTTAGGTGTATAATGATCACCTATCCGGACATTATCCAGGCTCAACATCTGCTCCTTGTCTGAGACCGGACAAGATCGTTTTGGTAAAAAAAAATCTAAGTTGCTTTATCCGTGTGCAGATATCAAAATATACAAAAGATAATACAATCCATTTGTACGAGCAATGAAATCAGTTTTTTTACAGGTTCACTCAAAAACATCAAATGACAATTACAAAAAGGAAGCTGGGAAGACCAGTTTAAAGTGAAAAGTTAAGTCAGTATTTATCTATCTAATATACATAAAGTTCTACCAAATGTAGCAAATCAGAAATTATGCTTTAGATCCATTAATTGGAAGAGGAAACTCATTAATATGTTTTATGAGAAATATGCAATACAAAAACATTCTTTGAAAATTTCAATTAAACATAACTGTTTAGTTTTCTTAATGTGTGGCTATTACGATAACGCTCCACGTTGTATTTGACTAAAAAGAAAATAATTGGCTTTTCAAGAATGTCCTTTAATTTACATGTCTCATTCACATGTATTCCTGCATTTAACTACAATACAACTATAGCGCTTCTATAGCAGTGCTTGCTTTTAGCAAAACCTTTTACTAAAAATAAGACTTAAAATATACCAAGGCAATCGAAGTTCGGTAAAAATATAAATGTACAAATATCGAAATAATATTAAAAGAAAAAAACATGCATGGTTATAGATTTATTGAATAATATTACTTGTACACGTGTACTTTTCTGTAATTTCATTAGTATTACATATTAACTATAGGAGCCAAACAGCTATGCCTTATTAAAAACTAAAAATGTATATGACGAAGAAATATTATATATGAAATGCCTCGTACGGTTTTCTATATAAAACACAGATTTATTAGATCTTATTCTAATAAAAAAAAGCCTCAAAACCTGCTTCATGCAATATAAATGTTTCAGGAAACATCTGCATAAAATATTCCTTTCCTTCAAGCTACAATTAATTTATTTTTAAACATTCATGAACATTAAGAAATAAATGTCCTGCGCGGCGAGCTGCAAGAACACGATGGGTTCATGCATAATGGAAAACCCTGTGATTTAGCTACCAACAAACGCTGCCCGCAATTTCTGCCGATGCATTGCTATGGGGGTCAATTGTCGCGCTAGAGTGGGATAAATAAAAACCTCGCCGTTTAGAAGGTGACAATTAGCCTGCATCCAGCGCACAACCTCTGTGAGCCCTTTGTGTCTAGAGCCGCCCGTTTCTGCGTGTTTTACGCGCACCGACAGGCCGCGACATATGGATTACAGCGCCGAGATGGCTTCCGAACGACATTCATCTTCCTTGCCATCTGCTCCCAACGACACCTCTAATTATTCCAGCGCAATCATCCTGCCACAGAGCCTCATGCAAATTACTGCTGGCGCGGTCCACAGCGACTGTGCCAACGCATGCAAATTACCGTGAATTAAAACATTACACAGCCATCAATTAACATGGCTCTTCCCCCGGTTTTGCGAAGCCCCGAAAAGGATTTGTTTTTTAAGTGCAAAAATGTACGATCTTTTCTTCCCCGCTTTCCAGTTTGTGTTTGTTTGCATGCACTCTACGTGATGTGCTACGGGCTTCCTGTGCTATATTCTCTAATATAAAGTGTCCGAAAAGCATCTGCACAGAGAATGAATGACGGCTCCGCAAGATAATATCTCTAGCGGCATTAAATTTTTATGCCAGCAAGGACAAAAAGGCCTTCAAATCGGTCACCCACAATGTCTTGTAGACGCCGTTCGCCATCGATTAAGGAGAGATTGATGAGTCTAAAGAAAACCGTTTCCAGAGAAAGGAATAAAGATGGATTCTGGAGAAGAAAGACTCTCCACCGCCAGTAAATTACGTGTCTAACAATGTTTGATGACGCACATTTCCTGGTGCCCTGGCCACAAATGAAAGCCCATCCTCAGCACACTTCTATATGAGGCACAAGGAAGGGCAACAACACACAGGCAACAAGGGCTTGCGGAGAGAAAGCAGATAAGAGGCAGATCGATACTCTAATTCTGCAGTGCACCCTCTGAGTTCCCTCTCAGTTCAGTCATGATTCAGGTCCAGCTTTTCAATAACTTGTGGCCCACAATGACACCTGCATTTTGCACAAAAAAAATTCAAGCAGATATCATTGGTTGCATATGCCTACTTGTACAATTTAATCGAATATAGTAATGATTTTGTTTTAGATGCATACAAGCAAATAGCGTTTCAGTATTGTTTTTCAATCCTTATAAAAAGGAACTTGTTGCCTTAATGGGGTTTTTTTTTATTTTTAAATAAAGGATATGAGTGACTGAATGAACTGCTTTTCAGTATTCATATGAAAAAATAACAATATATATTTTTTTAAATGCAATGCCTTCCAAGTAAATATAAATGTGAATGCAAGCTGTCCCAAAGCAAGTCATCAAGACCGATCACAATTATGTTGAGATTCAATTCCACAGTGATTCGATACATTTTCATGATAAAACATCAAAGTATATACTGTGTAAATAGAACATTTTAAATATTGTTTGTATTTGTTTTATGTTTCTTACTCATTTTTAGAGTTTTGTTCGCTCCATTAGCCTAAAGGTAACATTTGCCTATCATTTGCATAAATTACATATTTTTTCTTGCACGCATGGTTTGATTAATGTTTCTTAGGCATAAGGAACAATTTTAATTGAGGAAGCAATACATCGCGATTTGATTACTTTTCACGTTTACCAATTCCCACGTGCCTGATGATTGGTATACAAGTCCAGCATATGAGGAGCACTGAATCAATTAAGTAGTGTGTATGTGCTCACGTGTCCCATGTAACGCAGATAATCATTTTAACTTAAATCAATGCACTGTCATGTGGAACCTGTTTGCCAATCATCAGGCATGTGCAGCATGACATGTAACAACTTAATTTATTTTTGAATGGAAACAAAATTTGGTAAACATGATGAGGAATACCGTGGCAGGGCGGTGATGACTAGAATTTGGAAATCCGGATTTTAATGTATGGTAAACACTGCCAGTAGGGTGCGATGTTTCTCCATCACGTGACTGCAGGGGTCACTGTAAAGAGGCCCCATTAGTCCTGTCACAGCTGACATTAATTATATCATTGCCCCGAGCTAACACATTGCTGTATGTGTTCATTTATCCCACGTTCAAATTTAACTTTAAATTTTATTTGAAGACACAACTTAATGCGCCGCTTAAAGCAGTGCATTATTTGCTTATACCTAAAAGCTGTTTAAAACGTGTAGTGTGTTAATATTTAAGGGTACGTGATCTTTATAT